GAAACATGAAAAGTCTACATATAAACCGATTGGTTTGACTCTTCCAGATGATTCAAAGAGCTTTTGAGGACCCTACCATTGTAGTTTTTCATGATGACACGTAGTTATTGAGGACATATATATATATATACAGTGGCGGAGTTAGAAACTTTTTTAACCGGCAAGGGTCAAAATTAATTAAAAGTGTACATCATATATTGATGGAAGAAAATGCATAAAATTTCAACATACATAATGCATCATCTATAGTATATGACATCTTAAAATATTTTAAAGAAAAAATGTTTGACATATCACAAAATCTCTAGAGTTTTCGTAAACCATGTTGTTTAACTAATAAAAACAGTTTGAGTGAACACTCAAGCCTATGTAATAGTTTGACACAATTAGCTTGGTAATCTTGTACTATACTTTATTTAATGAATGAAAATATTGACAAAAAAAAAATTTTCTTAAATTAGCTTACCTAATTGTAATTATAGTAAAGTCTGAATTAATCAATAATTATTTTAATATATTAAAAATGTAAATCTAAACCCGAGCAACATTATTGAACATCAAGAAGGTGTACACCTTGTTATCTGAGACTATGAAAACACTCCGATTCTCCGTAGTTAGCTATAGGGCATATCACTAACGCCTTAAAGAGTATTAACATCACTTCTCCTCTCACATTTTTTATATATGTCGCAAGTACTTCAGTCTCCAGAATCCATCCCAACCATGACATTTTCTTTAGACAAAGACATGATGAATCCCTTACAAATGATGAATATCCTAAATTTTAAATAGGATTGTTGCCAAAATCAGAAATCTCCAGGTCATTAACTTATAAACCTCATGGGATAGCATGTGAACATATGTTTAGTGGCGGAGCTAGAAATTTTTTAACTGTGACCAAAGTTAATTAAAAGTTTGCATTATATATCGACGGAAGAAAGTGCACAAATTTTCCATATAAATGATGGATCATCTATAGTGCATAACATCTTAAAATATTTGAAAGAACAAATGTTTAACATATCACAAAATCTCTAGAGCTTTCGTAAACCATGTTGATTAACTAGCAAAAACAGCTTGAGTGAACATTCAAAACTATATAATAGCTTGACACAATTTAACTTGATAATCTTGTACTATAGTTTATCTCATTAATGGAAATGGACAAAAAATGATTTGACTTAAGTTATCTTACCTAATTGTAATTATATTAAAATCTGAATTAATCAGTAGTTAAGGATAATACCACACACCTATTATATATCTCTAACAACATTTTTAGAAATATATATCCTTGGAGATACACAAGCGAGACCATAAAATTTAAAACAAACACTTAATATACTGCTATGTCAAACTATAAAACCTAACTAACCGAAAATCTTGTTATATACTTCTCATACGAATAAATCAATGTTGACAAAAAAAAATGACTTGAATCAAGGTATCTTACCGAATTGTAATTATAGTAAAGTCTGGATTAATCAACAGTTATTTTAATGTATTAAAACTGTAAAACTATAAAATCAACCCAAATTAACACAGAGAAAAGAAGTATATAATTAACAAAGAAAGATTTGCGTTCCTTAAGTGGGGTTCATCAGCTTTTCATAACATGCTGGTTGTTCCTCCTGGATCTGGAATAGTTCATCAGGTACAAAGATGCTTACTAATCATTAACAAAAAAAATGTATCTATATCATAAGTGTGTCACTATAGTACTAGCCTTTTTAACAACTATCTTTTTGGTGTTGATAAATTTGTTACTACTCATGAATGCAGGTCAACATGGAATACCTTGGACGTGTTGTTTTCAATTCTGATGGATTTCTCTATCCTGATAGCGTTGTTGGTACTGATTCACACACCACCATGATTGATGGACTAGGAGTTGCTGGTTGGGGTGTTGGAGGAATCGAGGCAGAGGCAGCAATGCTTGGTCAGGTAAGATCCATCACAGTTTGTTATTCGAATATTTGCTCAGCTGATTTGGTACTTAAAATATATTTACCTGGAGTGGTCGGATTTAAGTTGGATGGAAAGTTGCGGGAAGGGGTTACTGCCACTGACTTGGTCCTCACGGTGACTCAAATATTAAGGAAGCATGGCGTTGTCAGCAAGTTTGTTGAATTTTATGGTGAGAGATTCATCGTTCATGGATGTCTGACTTATGACTTTAAAGTTGTGGATACTTAATGCTATCCTTGTCTTGATATGAAGGTGAGGGGATGAGAGAACTGCCACTGCCTGATAGAGCCACGATTGCAAATATGTCTCCCGAGTATGGAGCAACGATGGGTTCATCCCAGTAGACCATGTTACCTTGGAGTAGTACCTCAAGCTGACAGGAAGAAGCGATGAAACTGTAAGTGTGCTTGATTATGTTTCTTTTTATGCTTTTCTGAGGCTGACTTGATCAGCAAGTTCTTCTTGTTATTTAGGTGGCAATGATAGAGTCATACTTGCGTGAAAATAAGATGTTTGTGGACTACAATGAGGTATAGACATTTCTGGATCAGTTTACAGTAGTATCTTTGTAATGACAAGGTTCTGAAATCCAAATGGTTTATCTTTGCAGACTCAGCAAGAAAGATCCTACACATGTAACACAGGTTCTGAAAGATATGAAGGCTGACTGGCATGCATGCCTTGACAATCCTGTTGGATTCAAGGTGAGATGCAACTTTAAAGAAAAACTTCAAGCTGTAAGGACCATGGAAGTTTGTTTCATTTGGACAGCCTTTAAGACTGTTTCTATTTTCTTGGAAGGATTTTGCAATACCAAAGAAAAAACAAGAGGATATTGTTAACTTCTTGTTCGAAGAAAAAACACCTGCTGAGCTCAAACATGGCAGTGTTTGTGATTGCGGAAATTACGAGCTGCACCAACACATCAAATCCAAATGTCATGATTGGGGCTGCACTTGTTGCTAAAAAAGCTTATGAGCTTGGTCTTAAGGTAAGTTTCCATCTCCCCCTCTCTTTAGTTTATCCCTGAGATCACATGGTTGTATGAATCCTACTGATGTTTTAATACAGGTAAAGCCATGGGTTAAGACAAGTCTTGCTCCTGGTTCTGGTGTTGTCACCAAATATTTGGAAAGAAGGTATGTTGGAGACAATTATATTTTCCCATCTGGAGACGTCATTAACAGTCTTACTCAACTTTTACCTTCTCTGCAGAGGGCTTCAAGAGTACTTGGACAAGCAAGGATTCCAAATTGTTGGCTATGGTTGCACTACCTGCATTGGGAGCTCTGGCAACCTTGAAAAATCAGTTGAATCTGTTATTAAAAATAGTGGTAACAGTATTATTTTGTGTATGTACTTTCTTTAATCTGTATAAAGAGTTAGCTCTGAACCTCACTTTTGCTTGCTCCCTTTTCCCACCTTCCTGTCACAGATATTGTAGTGGCTTCTGTTCTTTCTGGAAACAGAAACTTTGAAGGACGTGTTCATCCACTAACAAGGTTCAACTGCTTCACCGCCATTAGTTGTTGCTTATGCCCTTTCTGGAACAGTTAGTACTTTTTCATTTTTTCAATTATTGACCTCTGAGATCTCTGTACCAAAATGTAGATGTTTGTGTCTGTGTTTACTGAATGTTATCTGCCTATATATAGGTTTACATTGACTTTGAGAAAGAACCGATAGGAACTAGAAGAGATGGCAAAAGTGTGTACCTGAGAGACATATGGCCAAGCAATGAAGAAATTGCTCAGGTACATTGACCATATGCTAATAGAATGAGTCCTCCGCAGTTATGTCTCTGACCCTGTTAACGTTCTTTGATAAACTTTCCCGGTACTTTGTGCAATAGGGGCCTGTTTGTTTCACCATCTAGATGACTCATTTAGATGTATTAGCTGGATGGAGATGATAGATGGTGAAACAAACAGCACCTAGGTTGTTCAAAGAAGTTCAAGAGTGCCTACAAGACAATAACAGAGGGAAATCCTCTGTGGAATGGACTCTCTGCACCAAGTTTGACACTATACTCTTGGGACTCAAAGTCTACCTATATCCACGAACCTCCCTACTTCAAGAATATGACCGCAAATCCACCCGATCCTCTTGAAGTGAAAGGTGCTTACTGCTTACTGAACTTTGGAGACAGCATAACAACCGACCACATCTCTTCAGCGGGGAATATTCAAAAGGATAGTCGTGCTGCAAAGTTCCTGATGGAACATGGTGTGAGTCAAGACGATTTCAACTCATATGGAAGTCGAAGGGGCAACGATGAGGTGTACATTTGCCAACATCCGTATTATGAACAAGCTAGTGAGAGGAGAAGTTGGTTCCAAGACTGTTCACATTCCTAGTGGAGAAAAACATACCGTTTTTGATGCAGCAAGTGTAAGTAGAAACGTATACTCCCAAGTCCTACTATATAATTTCATTTAGAACTTAACTGTTCACTCAAATCATATAACTCTCAGAGATACAAGAACGCTGGACAGGATACGATCATACTAGCTGGTGCTGAATATGGAAGTGGTAGCTCCCGGGATTGGGCTGCAAAGGGTCCCTTGCTCTTGGTAAGTTGATGTTATTTGCAACGGTCATAAGATTTTAGTTCCCTGTATCATAACTGAGGTAACCACACATTAGGGAGTGAAAGCTGTAATAGCCATAAGCTTTGGGAGAATCCACCGCAGTAACTTGGCTAGTAAGGGGATCGTTCCTCTGTGTTTCAAAGCCGGGGAGGACGCAGAAACCCTTGGACTGACTGGTCATCTCTAAACTATATGGCAAAAATAGTTAAAAAGCTTCCTCTAAATCAAGATTTCAATTCGTCTGAGACTTGGGTTTCCTTGGAATGTGCACAGGTGGAGCTAGCGTACTATGACCATGGCGGTATTCTTCCCTACGTCATCCGGAGTTTGGGCACCAAGTGATCAAAGTTCTTCTCATCCTTCTACAAGTTTCCATAGTTCCAAATAAAGCAGCTTTTGTTGACATATCCAGCAAGAGTCGTTAACAGAGAAATGCAAAAGACGCAGTTCATTCTATATATATATGTATATCAACTCGTTTTGTACCACTTAAAAGATTTGATAATAGTTAAGAAACATAACCAACATTTTTCTCTTCAATAAGCAGTCACTGTTCTTCTTCATTCGCTTTGCTTTTCCAAAAAGAACTCCATGAAATGATACAACATAATCAGTGTTATGTTTCAGACGTTAGAACATACACTGATCTTCCTCTTGTGTGTTTCTTTGACGCCTGTTTATACAGAGAATCCTCATTCCTCAAAACTACTTCTTGCGCAAAGATCTGTTGGCCTTTGATGCAAAAGCCATTGATTTAGCTTCGTCACTAGACATCATCCAATCCCTCTCAGCACGACGTTGCTGTTGCCTCGCATTCTTTGCTCGTTTAGGAGCCAACCGTGCATCTCTCTCTGCAAACGCTAATCTGAACTTCTCTGCTATTGACAACTCACTAGAGGAGGTCAAGGACAATGAAGTTGTTGTGGGTATCTTCACAACTCCTCTAACAACCCACGTCTCAGGATCAATATCTTTCACAAACGGCTCATCCAATGCAACATCTGGTAATGCTTCTCGAGGAACCTCGTGTAGACTGTAACTGAGAAACGAGGGCTTGGGGTTTACTACTATTCTTGGACATTCCATGGAAAGCATCTCCAATGAATCCTTATCAATTCTTGGCTGCAGAAGAAGCAAGTTAAGTCTACAAAGTGTGAAACCATTTCTTACTAGCCCAAAGGAAAAATCCGTACCCAAACAAGCCAACGCAATGATTGACCAAGCTCTGTAACGTCTAGTTCTTCCCATGATTCTCCTTCAACGTTACTCAAGTCTGGCTTAAACAAACTCAAAGATCTGCGTGCGGTAGACTCACTACTTGGGCATCCTCTGCAATATTAATTTTTTTCTCTCATTGCCTGTTTTTTATAAAGTTTGTTAGCCCCCTAGTTAAACCCACACAATGGGTTCAGTTCTATCTCACTTTCCCTAGTAAAACTATTTAACTCATAAGTAAATAGACAAGCCACAACAGCAAAATCAAAGCCAGTTAATTCAACTGAAAAGAAGTTTACCCGCATCTTAGAGTTTCCAAAGATCGGCAGTTTTGTACAAGCTCTGAGACTCCCATTGATGTGATCTTGTTACACCGGCTGCATTACAAAAACAAAGCAACTATATAATAGACGAGATGAGCAAAAAAAAATACACACTCTTATCCAATGAACAGAAGCTCCTAGCTCAAGACCAGAACTACTAAAACCAATTCACTACTCCAAACTGACACGATTAGACATATGCTTTGGTAGACTATGTTCTTCCCATCTTAATGAAAGATGGTTCCAAAAATCCATCAACCGCTAGACTAGCTAAGCTTATGAAACACATAGAGAAAGCATTCATGCTAAGGTAAGAGAATCTACTCCTCCCGGTTCAAGCACAATGAGGCAGGAGCAGAGAGATAAAGATTTCTCAGGACCTACACTCATAGATTCAACTTAAATTCTTTAAGCAATATTAATACCTTATATCCACAGCCCTGAGAGATTTGCACATCTCTGACACTTTAGCTAAGCCAGAATCTGAAACATCTGAACCACTAACATCTAAAATCTCCCAGGAAGTGTCAGCCAAAGAGATAATCAAATCATCATCCAGTAGCTTCCTTCTTTTAGCAATGGCTGCAATCGACATCTGTTTCACATGATTAGCACTAAATAAACTAAAAGGACTCTTTAAAACCATCGCTAATAATACAGGTTAACGCAAGAAAAACACAGAAAGAACTAAAACAAACCTTGATGTCAGAAGGAAAGATGTGAGAGATATCAGATAAACAAGGAATGATTTCTTCTAAATGTCTCCCAACAACACCAAGACATAAGCTAACAAGAGACGGAGGAGGTCCAGGTTTCAACGCAGATATCCCTGTGACTGAATCAAAAAACCAAACCAGCAGAGATATGTCAGAATCCAAAACTCATCAAACCTCACCAGAGATAATAACAGCTGTCCATAAAGCTATGAGAGGGGCTTACGTGAGGAAGATAGATAAGCTGAAACAGGAATCTTATTCTTTGATTCATGATTCGTATTTAAGTCGAGGTTTTTGAGCGAAGAAGGCAGCTTTCCTTCTGATTTGCGTGTTTCCATCCAAACTCTACAGAGAAAATCAGAGATCGCCGAGAGTTTCGATTATTTTGTGGACGGCGGGATATAGGAATCTCCGGTCAAAGTCAACCGAAACAAAAAAAGAATGATTAAAGAAACCGACGTCATTTCGTTTGTCGGGCCTAAATATTGTCGGGATTCGGACATGGGCCTTTTTAACTAGGGATGGGCACTTTAACTATATTCTGAACTCGTACCCGAACCCGACCCAAAATATCTTCTGAACTCGTACCCGAACCCGACCCAAAATATCTGAACCAGAATCCGAACCGAATAAGCAAAATATCCAAATGGATATTAAATTAGTAAAATTTGGATATCCAAATCCGAACAGATAATACCCGAACCCGAATTCGAAAATAACCATATATATATATACATATTTTATTCTAAGTTTATTTATTTCATTTTATTCAAAATATTTATATTAGTGTTGTATATAGTTTAAGATCAGATAATATAAATATGATTTGCTATTTATTTAAAATGTTTATTAAGCTTTTTATTTTATGTGTTTAACAAAAGTTGCATCGAAAATTTAAAAATAACAAGCAGATTAATGATTTTTTATTTTTAAATTTAATAATCTTTAACTCATTAAGCATTTAAAGAACAATTAAATTAATCATAAAATTTTAAGTACATAAACTTAAACAATGAAGAGTTTGAATTTTTTCTTTTCAAAATCTAAATATCCGAAATAACCGCATCCAAACTTAAAATATTCGAATCCGACCCGATATGTAAAAATACCCGAACGGATACTAAACACCAATACCAAAATACCTGAAAATCTAAAATACCCATCCAAACCCGAACGCCACCCCTACTTTTAACTTTTATAATTGTTGTTACAAGAACTTCTTTTACCGGTTTAGTTCATTTCGTTTGATTAATCTGGTTGAATAGTTAGCCCGGTTTGTATTTCTCGGGTTTACGTTAGCGTTTCGAACGTGATTTCTGCTCCACAACTGAGCTCAGGAGCTCACCAAATATGCTATAAAGTTTTTTTGCCCAGTATATGTCAATCAAAGAATCATAATGTTTTCACATTCTACAACAGGTTTTCACCCAATCCAACTCGATAAACCAATAAATCAATAATCGGTAAAAGCCAAACCGGACAATAAACCCATAAAAACCCTTATTAGGTTGGAGAGGCAAAGAATGAAGGTATGAAACCAAAAAACAAGGAGACTCTATTTATGAAAACTTTGTGCCAAAGAAGCCATTAGGAACTGCAATGTGCATTGGCTGGTTCGTTGGGAAAGGAGGCTGCATAACCGGAAATTGGGCAGGAACGACGCTGTACGGTTGCAGTCCGCCCGTCGTGAATGGTTGTGGAATGCATAGCTGCGGCGGCTGGCCAGCTGCAACTACACCTGCATCACAAATTGTTTTTTTCTAGTTGAGAGTAACACTTTTTGTTTTGGTCCAACGACAGCGTTTGTTCTTTAGGGCATCTTAAGTATTTTACCTTGATGCTTCAGGTACGGGACATGTTGTGCAGGTACTAGAGGACGGGAGAGCATAGGTGGAAGAGGCGGTGTTCCGTGAACCAGATTCTGGAGCAAGAAGAAAGACTGATTAAACAAGTGACTAAGTAATTTTATTTCCTCTCACTCAGCAATACATGACATACATTTGAGTAAACATGTAAGTCATAGACTGATTAATCTAAACATCATTATAAGTTCACCAGATTGCTTATACCTCGAGATGCAAACAACTAATTCAGAAGTTATATGCACCAAGTTCTAACCTGAGAAACTGGTTGGACATATACAAGCTGCCCTGATCTCGCAACCATTACCTGAAGTACAGTACAAGTGTTGAGAAACATATACACCATGTAAAGTTCACTACAGTGTCACACACTTTTTAACAAAAGTAAGTTTCAGAGGGTTATCCATGAAATACAACCTGAGGATTTGGATTTATAAACATTGGTGATGCTTGAACAGATTGGTACGGAGACGTGAATCTCTGCGGCTGCGCCATGTTAACAGTAGGCCCCATCATCTGCAAAAAGGTGGGATGCAAAAGGAAGAATAATTTATTGATTTTCAACAAACATGTTATTATACTAAGTCATTTCAATTCAAAGAGATCTAATGTCTGGTCCTCTATAGTGACATTTCGTACGGATGCAGCATATGCTTAGTGCTGAAACAAGTAATATACTTTCAAATGCTAGTTGATAAGTCTCGTTTGACATAATACGCCGGCGGAAAGATAATACTTACGTGTTGAGGATAGTGAAATTCACCGACAGCATTTCCAGCAGTCAAATTTCCATATGGCACAAACTTGGAAGGTGGAATTGTCTGGGACATATAAGGGTTGTTTCCAACTTGTGGGTAAACAGGTTCAGGAACAGGTAGCATGGGAGTGTTGCTTGGTATATAAGCAATATTTTGAATATCAGGCGTAGCAGCAGGAGACGATGAAAGACGTTTTGTATAAGATGGAGAAAAAGTCTTTGCCTCTGGATTCAGTTTGAACTCCTGTAATGTAAGGACTACGTGGTAAATGTTCTAAAAGTAGAAACTCAGACTAATTTGACAGTATATACCTTAAGACCCAACAATCAATCTAACATAACTGTATCCAGGAATTACCTTAGCCTTTTTCACGGCCTGGATAGGTACTGATTCATTAGGAGATGCCTCTAAACCCTGACGCAAATCTGAGGTTTCATCAACAGTTGTCGATGAATTGTCAGTGGAAGAGGGCCTTTCAGTAGTATTGTGAAAACCATTACTTATAGGTTCCGGCATTAACTTATCTTCTGCTATTGGTTTAACTCGTTCGGACATGCTATCCACTGAATGGTTGTTATTTCACATGAATGAAAGTTGATGATAAGTATGTCAGAAAACATTTTAGTGTCCAAAAGAAGCTTAAACAAGAACAGCAATAGCAAAGATTAAAACAGTTACACAGGAGATGAACTTACAGCTAGAACTTGAGCTTTGGATATCCTCCTGATGAACGTCAGGAATATGTTGTTCACTACGCTTGAAAACCTTGGCTCCTAGCTGTCTGTCAACAAAAGCATGCAAAAATTAAAGAAAATAACGAAAAATATTCAAGGCAAAGCTTTAGACATAGGTACGACCAAGATAGTAATTGACTTGTGCTAATATTGATACAATTAATGCAGCTGCTAGACTAGATAACTATGATTGGCATGGCAATACTGAGATTATTACTTCGATTTCCAGATTATTGTAACTTTGTAAGTACACAAACACAACAGTTGTCATACAAAATTGCAAGTTAAAGTATAGAGATAGGACTCGTAGATCAATGATTCATCCATCAAAATAACCCCTCTTCACTATTATCTTCTGTTTCAACATGAAATCTAAAGCAACTACACAGCTTACCTCCTATGATGATTACCCCTTACTTCAACACAAGCTTTTTGAGATTTCTTCGTAGTAGATAAACGAGGCTTAGAAGGTAAAGTCTCCATTGCTGATCCAACAACCCCACACTCATTGTCACCTGTAACATTTGACGGAAGCGAGACTCCCTATCAATTCAAAGCACGTCACATTACACTGTCATAAACGAAGCTCGAAGATAAAGAAAAAAAGAAAAAGAAAAAAAAAAGCAAGTAAATAAATGTAAGGACAGAGACCTCAGCAACTATTTGAACAATATTAGAAGACGTAATAACAAGTGTCTCCACCACACTTCCGCTTGCTACATTAGCTTTACTCTTCCCTTTCTTAGTCATTTTTGCATTCTTCAAAACAATGCCTAAACAAACAAAAAAAATAATATACATCCCATTATGGGATTCCCATATCAGGAAATAGACAAAACATAACAACAAAACCATAACAACCAAAATATATCTTCTTGATTAAGACAATCTTAATTCCCTTAATGTATAGACCTGCTTAAACTGACTAATCTCATTTTTAAAAACAGACAGACATAACAACAAAACCATAACAAAAAAAAAATTATAAATCTCTTCTTGATTAAGACAAGCTTAATTCCCTTACATATAGACCTGCTTAAACTGACTAATCACATTTTAAAAAACAGACAGAGATAACAACAAAACCATAACAAAATTTTTTTTATATATCTCTTCTTGATTAAGACAAGTTTAATTCCCTTACTGTATAAACTTTGCTTAAACTGACTAATCTCATTTTTAAAAACAGACAGAGATAATAACAAAACCATAACAAACAAAATTTATATATCTCTTCTTGATTAAGACAAGCTTAATTCCATTACTGTATAGACCTGCTTAAACTGACTAATCACATTTTAAAAAACAGACAGAGATAACAACAAAACCATAACAAAAAAAAATTTATATATCTCTTCTTGATTAAGACAAGCTTAATTCCCTTACTGTATAGACTTTGCTTAAACTGACTAATCTCATTAAAAAAAACCAAAGTAGCTTTCCTTGATCTGGACAAAGCTTGATTCCATTACCGTATAGACTTTTCTTAAACTCTTTAATTTCATTTAAATAAACATAATCTTCGATTTGATACCAAAGATCCAATTCAGATCTCTACTACGGGCATTATAGCAAATTCAAAAATCAACAGAAGAAAAAATCAATCAACGTACCAAAGCCATTGTCGAACGAAGCTGTGTAGAATAAACCGGAAAAGACAGAACCGTCCTTGACGTGAACATGAACCTGTGATCCGATGATGCACATAGTGGCGATTAACAGCTTTTCGTTTAGTGGTGACGACGATGAAGAGTTGTTGTCGTCTTCGAGTTTCCTTTCGTCGTATCCCATCTTGTTGACCTTCAATGCAAATTCAAATCTCTAGAAGTTTCTAATCGATCGCGGCTTGTTCGAAACTAGTATTATATACAGAGAATCATCGTACCGGAAAAAAAAGGAAGAACACAGATCTAGAGATACGAGGGAACCGGTTAAAGCGACTTTTCCATTTTTATATGGGCCCGTATTTTGTCAAATACACAAGGCCCACTTTGGTATATACTTAATGTTGTTTATTTAATTGTTTTATAATTTACATATGAATGTGGTAAGTTTGGATGCAAAACCAATTGTATTTGTTTATTTATCTATTTATTTTTTTATAAATATAAATACTAAAAAAATAACCAGTTTTAAAATAAAAAAAACTAGAAAAATACTAAAAATTTTGAATGTAAATTTTACACATTAAAAATAAAAAGACCAAAATTTTGTTACACGTAAAAAAATTTAATTTTTTTTCTACAGTATGCCTATTTCTTTGCCAAAATTAACATTTTTCACACAGAATATTATTTCCACCTAAAATAACATTATATCACTAAAAATGCATTTGCTCACTGTTTTTGTAGTTGCCTCGGCTTCATGGCAGAAAGCTTAATCATACATCATCTTCCTCCTTCAACCCTTTTTTTTTTTTTTTTTTATTTGGGCAAAATTCCTCCTTCAACCCTTATTTTTGCTTAAATAGGAATGAAAAACAATGGGGTTGTAACCATTAGCCCTGTTATAAGAACTAATTAGAAACAGTAATTTCAAGAATGGGCTTAACTAATATGAACACTGTACGTTAACAATCATCATTTGAAAGTAACCACTAGTTAAACTAATCACTAGTCACCCACCTGAAAATGACATGTTTTGATCAATATACGGTAATACTATATATGTTGGATTTCGTGACCAATACGTTATCAATAGAACCAAAAGTTTTAAATCAAAGGGTTGGCCTTGATAAAGGAAAGCTTAATGAACACACAATGATTATTAAACTTGGTTGAAAAATGTTTAAAACAGGACTGGCTATTGTTGCCTTGTAGAATCTGTTATTGGGGGGATGCAAGAAAACAGTACAGAAACGTAATGGCCAAAGGACAAAAAGCATTTCAGTTACAAGCGACTTCAAGGAGGACACTCAATAATTGTCATTCCAGAGAGAAAAAAACAAACAAAAGAAAACAAGAGTAGTAGGGAGAATCTGAGACAAGAGCTCTAATACACATCCACTTCAATAACTCAAATCCACAATTTTGCAAACGGTGGTGTACATCACAGACAGCTTTCTGTAACTTCAGCTCCGATCACGACATACACATCATGCTTCACTGCAATTAGAAAGAACAAACAAGAGAAAGTAAGAATCAGTACGCACACAAAAAGGAGATTTACAAGTGTTCAATTTATAGCTTAAGCCTCAAAGATTTTCGGGTTAACTACCTGCTGATGCTGCTGGTAGCCGCCACCAGGCTGCTGGTAGTTTCCATAGCCGGCACCAGGGTAGCCACCATAGTAGGCGTTAGGGTCCTGAGGAGGAGGCGCATATCCGTAACCTTCATATCCCTGAGGAGGATACCCATAGTATCCACCACCAACACCACCATACTGGGCCTGATCAGGTTGAGTCTGTTTGTTGTTAGGACTGCGACCCCATGAAAGACGAATGCTTTGTCCTCCAAGTTGTGTTCCATTCAACGAGTTGAGTGCTTGCTCTGCACATGCCCTGAAAGCAACACACCCAGAGAAAAAACAAAATGTTAAACACATTCTCTAAATAAAATAAAACAAGTTCGTCTTCACGGTCAGTCACACTACCTATTAGCATATTGAACAAATCCGCAACGTTTTCCAGCTGGTATTTTAACATGAACAAGTTCACCAAATTGACCAAAAACTGACTTCAAAACATCTTCTGTCACACTTTCATCCAATGCTCCAACAAAAATCTGATAAAGCATAAAAATGACCCTTAAGCAATATACCCTACAAAGAACACCCAATCAAAGTACGCACCGTTGTGTTAGTTGGATCACTTTCTCCAGGATTTCCTTGTGTGTTCTGATATGCACCTGCAAATAACAGATAAGAGAGCTTAGTGGAATAACTTATACTTCTATATACTAAAGCAAACAGGCACAAACGACAGCAGTTTAAAAAGTATCCTAATAAAGATCCAAAATATCAAGCAGATAAAGCAAATGGCGTATATGTTACAGCTTAAAAGTTAAGGTACAAAGATTCTGAAGTTAGTAGATAAAGGATAGACAAATCAGTAAGGGTGTTCTAGGCGAAAGTTGGTTCCAAGTTGGAGAACGACACCAAACCTCTCCAGGATATCACAAGTAACTCAAAATACTTCCATTCCATGGTCTAACACTCGTTACCATATTAACCAACTTGCCAAAACAGTAACAATTAAGAAGACTTTATTTTATTGTTACTGTTGTTGGCAAGTTGATTGGAACACTAACTGAAAGAAGAAAAAAAAAGAAACACTAAGAAGATGAACTGAGAGGCATGAAGAAGATTACAAAACACTATTTAAGGGTTTCACACTGGAAGAAATGAAGCAAAATGTAATAAACTGTGGAACATGAAAAAAATAACTTAAAGGTAAGGCGTAAAGTAAAAGAAAAGACTTAGGCTTGATAAATAACGAACTGAAAAATAATTTAAGACTGTAGCGTTATTAACTTTTTTTCAAAAACATAACCAACTGACCTAAATGAGGCCACGCAATAAGGTGGTATCATTTTCAGCTGAAGTCAGTTCCAGGCACCTTCTCCTGCTTTAAGACAACATGAGTTTTCTTATAAGCTTTAGGATATTTTTGCCATATTAAATTATTTGAACTGCTGAAAGGCGTGAAACTGAAGGATAAGGAGTGAACTAAAAGCTTGGAAACGTATAGGCCTTAACTAAACAGAACAAGCTTCATGAATACCCCAAGGAAAATACAATCAACTAACATAGACAGTTCACCACTCAACATATTCATAAAGTCATTATTCGTTAAAAACAAAACATACCTGGTTGTTGTTGCATTGTAAGAGGCTTCTTGTTAGCAGCTGGACCAATACGCATAGCCCTAGACGAGCAGTACTGACCATTCATCTCAGTCATGGCACGTATCTGCTCACTTTCATCCCCAAACTTCACAAACCCATACCCCTTGGACCGTCCAGTGATCCTATCAGTCACAACTTTCGCTCCCTTTACAGATGAATACACAGCCTTGAACGTCTCAGTAAGGACGTAGTCAGTAACATCAGGCGCCAAATCTCCTACGAAAACAGTGTGCTCAGGCCCATCAGACTGGCGTCTCTCTCCAGCTCCGAGCTGAGCCCAGTTCAGCCTGAAAGTCTGTTCACAGCCAGGCATTTGAGCACCGTTGTAAGTCTGCAGAATCCTCTCAGCTGCAGCATGGCTCACAAACTCAATAAACCCATAACCTTCGGATAAACAGGTCAGCTTATTGCGTATGACTTTAGCTTGTTGAACCTAACAAAATGTCAAAGTAATCGAATCAAGTTAAGAACTTTATATAAAGGATTAAACTTTACTTTGGCTTGTCAAGCTTACAAATTTTAAAGTAATCAAATCAAGCTAAGAACTTTATCAAGGATTGAACTTTAACTAAGCTTGTTGAGCCTACAGATTTTAAAGTAATTGAATCATAAAACGATTAAACTATACTCTAGCTTGTGGAGCCTGTAACTGAATCAAGCTAAGAACTTGATTAAACTTTACTTAGCTTGTTGAGCCTCTTTATAAGGGTTTAAACTTTAACTAAGCTTGTAGAGCCTACAAATTTTAAGTAATCGAATCAAGCTAAGAAATTTATAAAGGATTAAACTTTAATTAACCTTGTTGAGCCTACAAATAAAGTATCGAATCAAGCTAAGAACTTAAGGATTAAACTTCAATTAAGCGTTGTTGAGCCAACAAATTTCAAAGTAATCGAATCAAGCTAACAACTTTATAAAGAATTAAATTTTACTTTAGCTTGTTGAGCCTACAAATTTCAAAACTGAATCAAGCTAAGAAATTTATAAAGAATTAAACTATTACTTTAGCTTGTTAATCCTACAGTAATCGGTTCAAGGTAAGAACTTTATAACTGGTTAAAACTTTATTTTCTTGTTGAACCTACAAATTTTCAAAGTAATCAAATCAAGCTAATAACTTTTAATCGAATTAAGCTAAGAAACTTTATAAAGGATTAAACTTTAATTCTTTAAAATATAAGTAGAATTGATGTTTTAAGGTTTTACCTCGCCAGTGATAGAGAAACTGTTCATGAGATAGCCTTCGTCCATCCATGGCTGCAAGTCTCCGATCCACAAGGATTTGATCTCACCACCTGATCCTTGATTCTGAGATCCACCACCGTACTGTTGACCCTGTTGTTGTTGCTGCATCATCCATGGCTGGTGGTGGTGGTAAGCTTGCTGGTCGGAGGGGATGTGTCCTGATACGGCGGCAGCGCCGTTGGCGGCGGGAGGTGGGTGCTGCATCATGACGGCGAAGACCTAAAACAAGAGATGATGCTGCAGTTGCAGTTTCGGACAAAAGGGTGAAAGAGGGAGAGTTAAAGGTGTCTCGGTTGTGTTTTATAGAAAGACAAAAATATCTGTGATTTGGGTCTTATGTGGGCCAATTTATGAGATTTCGGCCCATTATTAGAGCACTGGAGTAAAGCCACTGGAATCTCTCAATCTCAAGAGGTGTTAATTCATAAAAGTTTTGATATGTCTATTTAGCCCTGCGGTTTTTGTCGAAGCGATCAACCAAACCAAACTGAAAATTTTCCGTTTTCAGTTCAGATATGATCTTGAATTCGGTAGTTTTAAATGGTTCGGTTCGGTTTGGTTTCTGATTTTTCTTTCAAAAAATATAAACCCAAAAATAACATAAAACATCTAAAATAACCGAACCAAATTAACCAAAAATAAACAAATTTACGCAAAAATCCAATTTCTTAAGAATAATATATTGAATTTTAACTGAAAACCAAAAAGATATAGTTATTGTCCAATTGAAAACTAAAATTAACAGATAACTGAGCCGAACCAAAATATAAATATATTAATTATGGAACTAATTTTCAAATTTCGCTTAATCAAAAACCAAAATTTTGGTTTGGTTTGGTTTTGGATAACCGAAATCGGAGGGCTATATCTATTGTATTTGACTGTGAAAAGAGGTTTTGTTGAGACCTAACTATTGTATTGTGTCATAAAAATCAATCAATTTTGCTTTATCAGTGACAGAAGAGTGTGAAGCAATCCACAAATATACCAGTCTAATCCAATTCAAAAGTGAACCAAAACTTCTAAACCAAACTCGGTTTACTGGTTGATTAACACAGTCACAGCTGGCAGCTTGTAAATGGCTAGGGATGGCAATAGTCCCCACACATCTCGAAAGCACATGACAGCATCACTTTAACGTAATCTCTTTGCTCTTATCCTTGAGAAAAAAATCTACAAACTTGATATCTTTCAATGGCTGTTGTACCACTTCAAACCAAACATACTCTAAGTCCCATCACCAACAACATCACAACAAGTCACCGTCCCTCGCTTCTCCGTATCACATGCTCAGTTACTACCACCAACAAGTCTCCTCTACTGTCCAATGACACATCTTTGCATTCCACATGGACCCACCGCTTATGGGTATCAGCTGGCTGCACCACAGTCTCTATCTCTTTTGCCAAATCTATCATTGGAGGGTTTAGTTCTCACCTCTGGCTCGAACCAGCTTTAGCCGGTTTTGCCGGTTACATCTTAGCAGATCTAGGCTCAGGTATGTACCACTGGGCCACTGATAACTACGGAGATGAGTCAACGCCTCTCGTAGGAACCCATATCAAAGATTCTCTTGACCACCACGAGTGTCCTTGGACAATCACCGAACGGGGGTTTGCAAACAATCTACACTTTCTGGCACGTGGCACGACCCTGATGGTGCTCCCACTAGACCTTGCATTTGATGACCATGTGTTTCATGGCTTTGTAAGCATGTTTGCGTTTTGCGTATTGTTTTGTCAGCAGTTTCATGTTTGGGCTCATGGAACCAAGAGCAAGCTTCCACCTCTTGTGGTGGCGTTGCAGGATAGTGGAGTGCTTGTGTCAAGGACACGGCACGTGGATCATCACCGAGCTCCGTTTAATAACAATTATTGTGTAGTGAGTGGGGTTTGGAACAAGTGTTTGGATGAAAGTAAGTTCTTTGAAGCGTTAGAGATGGTGTTGTATTTCAAGCTCGGGGTGAAGCCAAGGTCATGGACCGAGCCAGACTCTGAGTGGTCGGAAGAAACTGACATATCTAAATGTTAGCCTTTGATTTGACACATCTCTTTGAGTTATTGGTTTGGTGTTTACTTTGACCAGTTTTGGTTACGAAGGGGTCTAATAGCACCTTTAAAAATGTTGGGTGTTAGCTAATAACTTTAGTTAACCAAAGAATGCAAAATGTGATTCTTTTTCTATAAATTTCAAGACTTGTAATGTGCTAGTGATCACAATAGCCCCAAAGCTTTTCTAATGTACACCACAACACTGTTTAGCTTAATCTCTATCGTTTGGCAAGCTATGGAAACAATGTAAACAGTGATACCTTTCATCATAATCTCTCTCAATGGATGTATCACTTCAAACCAAGAAGCAACCGTGTCACTTGTCCCTTTTCGTGTCACATGCTCTGCTTCTACCACCACCAAGTTTAGCCAGCAATTCCATGCTTGGGAGCAATCTTCAACGTCTCGTGGTGGCATTGCAGGACATGGGGCAGCTTGTGTCACGTAAACAGCTCGCAGCACACCAGTAAGCACCGTATAACTACAATTACTGCATTGTGAGTGGGAGTTGGAACAAGGTTTTGGGTGTAAGTAAGCCTTTTAAGGCATTGGAGATGGTGTTGTATTTTCATGGAGGAAGCCAAACTCTTGAGTGGACAGAAGAAACCCAACGTCTCCAATAACCAAGCATAATCAATCTTTACAAGCTATAAATTCTTTTCGTAATTTATATGCAATACAGAGTGAGTGTAATGAGTATAAAGCAAAAATACAAAAGAGAGTGTGCACCAGTTTTAAGTATCAGATCCTACGAATGAGTAGACAGAAGAGACACAGGGGAACCAATACTGACATTTTCCGTCTTTGTTGCCGTTGTCTATCATTGCTAGGCCCTCCTGAAAGTGTGTTATAAAATTCACAAAGTGTCAGAACCTACATTGGTTGAATTACATTTACTGTACTGAATCACAAATCAATTGGGGAAATGAATAGCAAATGCATACCTCTAACAAAGTTTCGAGAGCATCTATGACCCGACCAGATGTCCACAAGAGCCGTCTCTGTACCTCTTCCACAGTAACAAAGCCTTGACCCTGTGGCGAAAAAGCAACATAAATCCTCGAGTTACTTCAGTTAAAAACTACTAAGATGATGCAAAACATGTGAAAGTCTATTTCTGTGAGGGAGAATGACTATAACCTGAGCTAGCTCCAAGATTTGGTTATGGTCTTTGTTCAGCTCGGTGGGGACTGAACGGACAAGCTTTTTCTTGCCAATTGTGATAACCTCAAATCCGCTACCCAATACCTAAGGAAAGAAAGCTCAAGATACAATCAGGAGCAGTTCAGTTTTCCCTTTTCGTTGAAAATACCAAAAGCAACACAAGTTAAATACCTTTAGCTTGCTAATAGCTCGAAGACAATCATCTTCAGTCACAGCTTCACGGTCTTTCTTCCTTCTCTGGCGAAGATGGTTGCAGAGCTCTTGCAAGCTGATTAAACCTCCATTGAGTGACCTTGTAAGCATGCAAACTTCAATAATCTGAACCCCTGTTTCATCAATTTACCACTTTTACCCTACTTTCTAATATCACAGAGGGTATGCGCGGTTCCAAGTAAGAAAATAAACTATATCTATGCCAGTGTTGATGCTCCATTAACCAAACATAGACTTAAAAGAAACCATAGCTAACAATAAAGCATATCTTCTCAGGCACAAGAAGCGAACATGTCAGAACAGAGACCAAACATAAGGACATGTGCAGTTCCACGTAAACAAAAGCACTATATCTATGCCAGTGTTAATGCTCCATTATCCAAACATGTACTTAAAGAAGCAATAGCTAACAATAAAGCATATCTTCTCAGGTACCTAGAAGAGAACATGTCACCAAACATAAAGAATGTGAGATTCCAAGTAAGAAAAGAACTGTATGATGTATTACCCATGCCAGTGTCTATGTTTTCTTATCCAAACATGAACTTCTCAGGCACTAGAAGATGTCAGACCAAACATACCAAGTTCATAGTAGAAGTCACCAATCCCAAGAAGCTCAGCCCAAAAGCCCTTGTTTGAAGCAAGTGGATCCACACCAACTTTAGCACACATCTCATGAAACTGTGCCCTAAAGGCTGGATTTTTACGAATATCATTCTACAACCCAAATAACAAACACAAACACTTCTTTTCACTAAAACAAACCTCACCAATCCAAAAAAAAAACCATAAATTAAATACAAAATCAAGAAAATATATATAAGTTTCAAGAAAACAAAAATTGGACCTTGTGTTTACGAGCGAACTCTTCAAGCTGTGACTTGAACGTAGCGAGCTGCTCTTTCATCATATCAGTCCTTAACTTTGCCACATTTTCTCCTAATAACCTGTACTGATCCTGTTTGGTTTGATATCATCGACGATAAAGAGTTAAAGTCATAACTGATTTCTATTGGATTAGAATGTTTAGAAGCCAGACCCGAGCAGCGGCGGCTTTTTGAAGACCTCCGATTCCTGGTCGCCGTCGCATTTTGTCAATTACTGTTTTGAATTGTTGCTATTCTTTCTCTGTCGATCGGGAAAATATTGTACGATCGGAGAAGACGGAAGAGATATTATTTATTTATTAATATTTTATTATTAAGTACTTTCAAAAGTATCAGAGTGGCGCAGCGGAAGCGTGGGGGGCCCATAACCCACAGGTCCCAGGATCGAAACCTGGCTCTGATATACTTTTTCTTTTTAGCCCATTGTTTTGTTTTACACAAAATAATTAATAACCCAATATGGAGCAAATCGAAGCCCATTAAGTGATATTCTTTCTTCCTTATTTTAATTTTGTTTCACTCACTTATGTTTCTGCTACCTTACCTCAGATCGTTTTCTTGAAATGACATTTGTATTGGGGACAATTTGAATATAGAGAGAAGTTAACTCATTTATTTCACAGATTAGGCTTTATGTTTATGAATGCTAAACATGGTGGTTAAAGTTGTGAATAACTCTACAAAAAGCCAAGCTCTGTTCCAACAATAATATTGTATGTTTATTTACAGACATAGGATATAGATCAAGTTTTCTTTAGTTTGAATCCGATTCATATTTCAGGTTACGGATTTCATTTCTAAATCTATTTTTTTTAAAAAGATAAAATATGATTATATAAAAATGTTCATCGAAAAATTATCCCGCACTTTGAATCGCGGGTCAAAATCTAGTAGGAGCTTAAAAGAACTCTTGGAAGTAACAAACACAAAATATGTCACCAACACCGAGTGAGTGCATTGCATTACTCCTTAACTCCATGTCCGGTCATGTTCCTTCTCTTCTTTTTCTTCATTCCCCACATTAAAATGGGTGAATACAATCGATTTTATATAAAATGTATTTGTTCATCATCCACTTACCTACATTGCCACTGTCTGAGACTATATTTACAAAATGGTCACAGAAATATATTTTTTCTAAAAAAAATTAGAATCTATCATAAATGATTATTCTCCTTATACAAATAAGAGAAAAATCCAAACGAATCAATTAACCAGAACTTTGTAAAAAAATTGCTTTATGCCAAAACTTAGACATCTGACTGCTATTAAATTGTCTCATTAGCTAATTGCTAGTAACACTAGTAAGCAAATAAGTCATGTGATAAACACACCCAACGCTCTCGTCCCACCAACCTCCTCTTGATATTTGTTATCCACAAATAAACTAATACGATACCGACTCATTTCTGTCTTTTATTGACATTTCTGGCCACAGAACTGACCAAATATAAAAAGGCCCAAACTTTGAAGGTTCTGTCAGAAAAGAAAAAAAAAACAAAGAGATAAAAAGGATTCAGTAATGGCAACCTCAGGAACCGCTTCTACATTCAGACCATCCGTTTCAGCTTCTTCCAGATTAACCCATCTCAGATCATCTCCCTCCAAAGCCCCCACCAGCTTTACCCCTCGCTCACGTTCCTTCTCCGTCTCTTGCACCATCGCAAAGGACGTGATGGCGGATGCGGAGAAGACAAAAGCCGCTGGATCTGACACGACCATGTGGAAACGACCCGATTCGTTTGGTCGTTTCGGGAAGTTTGGTGGGAAGTATGTTCCCGAAACTCTTATGCACGCTCTCTCCGAGCTCGAAACGGCTTTTTATTCTCTTGCCACCGACGATGATTTTCAGGTGACTAATTTGGTTTCTGAATCCATTAGAAACTGTCCGTAAAATACTCTAATGTCGTTTTTTTGCGAAAATGATTGTAATTTACATAGAAAATATGGAAAAAACATTCATTATTCATGTTTCATAGTTTCTTCAGCAATACATGTTTCTGTGTTATATGCAACCTGGAAGCTTCTTAGTTTTTTTTTGCAATGTTCAAGAAATTGTTACGCAGTAATTAAGTGTTATTGATTAGGAAACGTTTAAACCGATTTTTTTTTAAAAAAATTTATACCAATTTTGTAAAGATTGTTCTTTAAAAATCATTTTCGTTTAGGTCCGATTTGCTGCCGTCTAGGCTTCTTAATCACCGTCTAGTCCGATTTTTGTGACATGTTCTTTTTTTGTAGATGAACTTTTTATTTCTATGATTTGTGAATTAAGTTTCACAAAAACCCTTAAAAATTTGAAAATACCAAAACAAGTATTTAGAGTCATATTTTGTTTCATTTGTATCTTTAGGATTGAGTCTAGAAGCATTTATGTTGCATTCATCATTGACATGATTTGCATAAAGTTTCAAACTTTTGTTGAATGTGAAATGAAAACTACAGAACATAAACTAGTTTGTGGAAAACTATTGTAAATTTTCAAAAAAAAAAAAAAAATCTGAAACCAGTCTACATATTAACATGTTTTCTGGTTATTTTGTTTGTAGTTAATGTCTGATTAATGTTTTATAAAAAACTGTAGAGGGAGTTGGCAGGGATCTTGAAAGACTACGTTGGCAGAGAAAGTCCTCTCTACTTCGCAGAGAGGCTCACAGAGCATTACCGCCGAGAAAACGGTCAAGGACCACTCATATACTTCAAACGGGAAGACTTAAACCACACAGGCGCTCACAAGATCAACAACGCTGTAGCTCAAGCCCTTCTCGCCAAACGTCTAGGCAAAAAGAGAATCATCGCAGAGACAGGAGCTGGTCAACACGGTGTAGCCACAGCCACCGTATGCGCACGTTTCGGTCTGCAGTGTATTATCTACATGGGTGCTCAAGACATGGAGAGACAAGCTCTCAACGTGTTCAGGATGCGTCTTCTCGGTGCTGAGGTGAGAGGGGTTCACTCAGGAACAGCTACTTTGAAAGACGCGACGTCTGAAGCTATAAGGGATTGGGTGACGAATGTTGAGGATACTCATTATATATTGGGATCTGTTGCTGGTCCTCATCCTTACCCTATGATGGTTAGAGATTTTCATGCGGTGATTGGTAAGGAAACGAGGAGACAGGCGTTGGAGAAGTGGGGTGGGAAGCCTGATGTGTTGGTTGCTTGTGTTGGTGGTGGGTCGAATGCTATGGGGCTGTTTCATGAGTTTGTTGATGATGCTGAGGTTAGGATGATTGGTGTGGAAGCTGCTGGGTTTGGATTGGATAGTGGTAAACATGCTGCTACGTTGACAAAGGGTGATGTTGGTGTTCTTCATGGAGCTATGAGTTACTTGCTGCAAGATGATGATGGTCAGATTATTGAACCACACTCCATTAGTGCGGGGTAAGAGATCATTCTCTGTTCAAATCTGGCTTATAGTCTTCTTCATTGTTCTAAAGAGTAAATGTTTATGTTAATAGCTTGGACTATCCTGGAGTTGGACCTGAGCATAGTTTCCTTAAAGACATGGGACGTGCTGAATACTATAGTGTTACTGATGAAGAAGCTTTAGAAGGTACTTTACTTGTCTTTATATGTTTCTTTAACATGTAATGAGAACTTGCATTGTTTTTGCTTACTGGTTTTCGTGTGTAGCGTTCAAGAGAGTATCTCGCTTGGAGGGAATCATTCCGGCGTTGGAGACGTCACATGCATTGGCTCATCTCGAGAAGCTTTGTCCTACGTTACCTGATGGAGCCAGAGTGGTGTTAAACTTCAGTGGGAGAGGGGATAAGGATGTTCAGACGGCTATCAAGTATCTTGAAGTTTAAGAGAGAATTATACTTTCTGCTTCAGACAAGTGACATTTTGTTTTAGTTGTTTTCTTGCTTCTTGGTCGGAAAACCCAAATAGGAACAAAGTATTGAGAAGAGAATGAAATATAAAAATGTACCCTATAAAATAAATAAGACTTTTCTAATGAGGCTTTCATGTTCTCACTCAGCTTTAATTTGACCAAAACAAAGAAACCTCTATTGCATTAAAAACAATTTAGAATAAAAATCTACTGAACTTTTGTTAAAAAGTTACTCTATGATAATTCTTTTTTTTTTAACTCTATGATAATTTTGAAACTAGAAGCTACTTAAATTCTATACAATCAATAGATATTGACTAGTAATTATTTAAAATGAGTAGGCTATAGTTCTTTGAGATGTTATCATCAACAGGTTGGTTACCTAAGAGCATCTCCAACCCCACTTTATTTGTAACTCCATAATGGAGTAGTGAACAAAGAAAAAATAGATTATTCCATTTATGTAGTAAATTTCATTATGGAGTAAGAAATGAATTGGGATTGAAGCATTTTTTACTCCATAATCACTTTTACTCTATTTTGAAGTAAAAAATGGAGTTGGATTGGAGATGCCCTAATGGTCAACTGGTGCAGTGAATTATTTAGAACATTCAATTGCGCGCCACCTCCGTCGCCTAATGTCATAAATGACTTGTTGACTGTAACATTTGAAACGATGGGGTACTAATTTGTTTTAATAAAACTATTTGGGTCAAATGTGAAAGGCACCAAAACCATAAGGGACTGAAGTTGTAATTTAGAACCGATCGGGGGAGAGAGTTTCACATCTGAAGAGGGGTTGAAGATAAATCACCCAAAGGGAGGTGTGAGTGCATCATCGTCCGTCCCCTAAGCAGTTGACTCCTTATCTGACGAAGATGGTCTCCACAAGCAAGATCAAATCCGTCGATTTCTACAGGTTTTTGCTTCTGTTCCTCTTACGCGTGTATCCATTTTCGCAGATCTCTCAAGCTTCCTCGATCTCGGCGGTGACATGATTTGGTTTTCGATAGCTCAATGTGAATACGATCCTAGAGAGTATCTACATTCTTCGGATTTGCATGTTGATTAGTGTTAGGGTTTAGTCTTCAAGAGGTTGTAGATTTTGCATAGCATTTTCCTTTGGTCTTAGTGCGATTGGACTGTTAGAAAATGTTTTAAAATTAGGGTTTAAGATCATCACTGTTGACTTATATTTCGCTTTTTTGACTTGGCGGAAGGTAAATTAGATGGTTTAGGTCTAAGAATCTTTCTTGAACTCGTTGAGATCTGTGATTTATTAGATATTTGTGATTCTGGAATTGAAGATATTCATGTTTGTGATTTGGATGAGTGCAGGAAAATCCCGAGGGATTTGACAGAGGCGACTCTCTCTGGAGCTGGATTGTCCATTGTAGCAGCTCTCTCTATGCTCTTTTTATTTGGAATGGTAAAGAGTTACAACCTCACTTGACTTGCTGACTATATGACATTATGTGACCATTTTGAAGTGTTATGTTTAAGATATACGTCACTGATTGGGGAAAAAAAGGAATACAATTTTGAATTCGTATGTTTCATTATTGCAGGAGTTAAATAATTATTTGGCTGTTAGCACTACAACGTCCATCATCGTTGACCGGAGCCATGATGGAGACTTCCTGCGCATGGATTTTAACTTAAGGTCGGGTATTGTATGCTACAACGTTAATTTGTTAATTACTCACCTTATCTCTTCAGGAATGTCAATTTGTGGCTTAAACAAAGTCCTGTAGGATGCAAACATCTATCTGATGCATGTTCCATTTCTTTGCAGCTTCCCGTCACTTTCATGTGAATTTGCATCTGTGGATGTCAGTGACGTGTTAGGAACTGTAAGTTTTGGTTTCACCGTTTCATTTCACGTCTCTGTTTGTATATTAGGAGTGGAATCTGAAATCTCACTCAAAATTTTTGGTTGTTCTGTATTTTGATTTTTGTTAAATTTTGGTTTTCAGAATAGGCTAAATGTAACAAAGACAATTCGGAAATTTTCTATTGATTCGAATCTGAGACCTACTGGTTCTGAGTTTCACTCGGGGGAAGTTTTATCGCACGTTAATCACGATGAAGCAGGTGAAGAAGTAGTTGAAGATTCTGTATCCCTTAATAGCCGCAACTTTGACAAATTGTTACATCAGTAAGTAGTTTTAGCCATTACCGCACATTTCGTAAGTAGATGCAATAATTCTAATTTCTAGGAGTGTTTTTCTAGTACATATCATTTTTTTTGTTGTTTCTAGTGATAACATATGAATTATATAACTTGCAGATACCCTATCTCGGTTGTTAATTTCTATGCTCCGTGGTGCTATTGGTGTAATCTCCTGGTAAGTCCCACATCTTTTGTCTTCGTCTCTTACATATTCTAGATTTTGCAGCATATTTCTATTTTTTCTGCTTGTTGGCAAGGGTCATATTGTTAAGTTCTTATATTGGAGATCCTCCATGTTTGGTGCTTAAGATGTGCTTAAAGTGCAATATACTGTAACCTAGCCAGTGTTTCTTGAGAATGTTCTTTGGCTGTAGCCGTCATAATTTTATCATGGAAAAGACTAAGACTTGTCTAAGGATCAACTTGATGACGAATATCAAAAGCGTAGTTTTTGGTGTCACTTATGCACACTACACTGGTAATTTTGATGATCTTACTCGAAGACTAAACCTTAGTCTTTATTTGCAGAAACCATCATGGGAAAAAGCAGCAAAACAAATAAAAGAGCGATATGATCCAGAAATGGACGGACGTGTCATTTTGGCAAAAGTAGACTGCACACAAGAAGCTGATCTCTGTCGGAAGTATGTCCCATCATATTTGATATTTTTCATTTTTGACTTCTTCATTTGCTATAACATATTGCATTCTCTGAAATCATTTGCCGTCAGTTAAACTTATTCTCACAACTTTCCTTTGCGAATGATCTCCAGGAATCACATTCAAGGGTATCCATCCATTCGCATTTTCCGCCAAGGCAGTGATCTTAAGTAAGAGAATGTAGCTCCTAAGTTACTTGTTTATATAATGCATACCCACCATTTCCTCATTCCTGTAACTTCTTTTTGTGTACTTTTCATTCATCTGCTTGAATCTCTTCTTAATAGGGATGACAAGGTTCACCATGATCATGAATCGTACTATGGAGATCGTGATACAGAAAGCTTAGTGAAGGTAGTTATTGTTATAAGTTTCTTTTCAACATCTTTTCTATGCCTCTTAAACAAGTTAAAGAAGAGTTGGTTTTTGTGCTTCATTTGTAGCTTATATCTGAATATTTTGCGTTCTTGTACAGATGGTGATAGGTCTGGTTGAACCAATCCATCTAGAGCCACATAAATTAGCATTAGAGGACAAATCAGAAAATGGGTCAAAAACTTTTAAAAAGGCACCTTCTACGGGAGGATGTCGAATTGAAGGATACATACGTGTAAAGAAGGTAAGCATTTGAATAGAAAAGAATCACTCTTGCTGTGTCTGTTTCCCTTTTAAAGTAACTTTTCTATGGTCTTTGCAGGTTCCAGGCAACCTAATGGTTTCAGCACGCTCGGGATCTCATTCATTTGATTCTACTCAGATGAATATGTCACATGTTGTTAACCATCTTTCATTTGGAAAGAAGATTTTGCCTCAGACATTCGCTGACTTAAAGCGCCTGTCACCTTATCTCGGTTCAAGCCACGACCGTTTGAACGGCCGCCCCTTCATAAACCAACGTGATATCGGCCCTAATGTTACCGTAAGTTTGTATAGTTCACAAAAGAATACTATTAAATTAATCTGATTATGTTTTTTAAGCATGCTTTAAGGTGTTGTTTTCCATGGACAGATCGAGCATTATCTTCAAATAGTAAAGACAGAGGTATTGAAAAGCAATGGGCATGCAATGGTGGAGGAGTATGAGTACACAGCACATAGCAGCGTTGCTCATAGTTACTATTTACCAGTCGCTAAGTTTCACTTCGAGCTCTCACCGATGCAGGTTGGCTTCAAACATTCTTTTTGCTGCCTACTCATATCTGCCTATCCCGTTGAGCCAAAAGCCTTGCGGCCTAGTTCTGTGTATGGACAACAACCGTAGTTACACTCTGCTCATTTTTGTATTTGGTTGCAGGTTCTGATAACCGAGAACTCCAGATCCTTCTCACACTTCATTACCAACGTATGCGCCATTATTGGTGGTGTCTTCACGGTTAGTATAATAAAACTTAGAAACATCTTCTTCTTGTTTTAGTTCAGTAATTCATTCTTTATGACTCGTGTTCTTGTGTTTTACAGGTTGCTGGAATCTTGGATGCTATTCTCCACCAGACGATGACACTGATGAAAAAGATCGAACTTGGTAAAAACTTTTGAAGCTTTACCTAAGAGTTTCATTTCGTTTTCTATGTAACCTTGTCCGAAATTTTTGTTAAGTTATACTTATACACAACCAGATGAGACAAAACTATCCTTTTAAAATATAGACTGGAAAAATGTTTACTTTGAATGTTGAGTGTTCTCGTTAAATTTCGAAAATCCTTTAGACGTTTTGTACCATTTTCTAATGCCTTGACTAAGTTTGCAACACTACAATTCCATCATTCCCATTCACTAGCTTCCACCATTACTCTCACAGTGTTTGACACACTAACATATTTAACTAATTTTGGATATTTTTAGATCCTAGTCTGAATTTTGAATAGGTTCAGGTTAATACCCAAACTTCAAAAAAAAATTTTCGGATAGTTTTGTATAACAATTTGGATCTGGTCTCAATTTATTCAGTTAGAATTTAGGTAGGTACTTCTGCTTGGTGTAAAAGAAATGTCATAAAATTTATTTGGACACTAGAACAAAGATATCAAGGAGTCACACATTTCTCTTAAGCTGAGACTGACTTGAAATTTTGGGAAGAATGGAAACGAATAAGACGTGAACAGAAATGTGAAGAGAGTAAGAACAAACAAAATGAAGTTTCCAAACCAGGTTTCATTAAAACTTGAAATTAACATCCAACAATAGAGTAGATAATGATGTTCAGACTCGCAGAAAACACTAGCTAACAATCCAAAATCGAGAAACAGAGTTGCAGATAATCCTCACAACTTGATCAAGCAGTGGTCTCCTTTTTGAGCTTTGCAAGCTCTTGCCTGACAACACCAGCTTTCTGCAAAACAAAAGCAAACACAATCCATTCAACATTTTCGGTTTCACATAATGCAAAACAAGGTAATTTTTTCAATAGTTTTAAAAACACTGACCTTGATCTTGGCCAACATGATCTTGAACCTATCAAAATCATTGAGGCTAGCCCTACGCTTCTGGACGATGAGCTTCCTTCCCCATGAGCTCTTCTCCCACTTGTTCTTCACGTCTGCAAAACACTTTCAAGGATTAGATGATAACAAATTACAAAATTTCATCATTACGATAATTGAACAGCAGCCCTCACCAGCCTTCTCCATAGCCTCGATCAAAGCCTTCTTCTTGGGAACTCGGTTAATCTCAATCACAATGTCCGTAAGAGACAACCTCTTAAAGTTCATCTGGATCCTCTCCATGTCTGGGGCATCCACTAAAGCCTATAAGACAATAACAAAACAAGGATACCATAAGACCATATAGCCATAATCTAAGCCATTGGAAACAAGAATTAACAATACAAATACAACACAAGACAAGTTTTTAGCAGCAGCTCAAGGTATAGACTTTATTGAATGTATCCGTAAATCAAATAAGCACACATTGATCGAGAAGAATCAAAACTTACAGAAATCACCAAGCAATGAAACTAAAATTTCAGCTAGTTTAACTTCACAAGAAAAAGTCATAAACTTTCGTAATGTATTAATGAAGATGAGCAAACAAAATCAAGATTCTATTAAACCATCTAGGCAACTAAAGCCCTTTGACACAAGAACTCAAAATACAAATAAACCATATATATAAAGTTTATACAACCAACTCCGAATCATCAATGAAAAGGTAATGACTTTACTAAATGTATTAAGTAAAATCAAATGTTATATAAACACATAGTGATCAAACTTTCACAGACTCCTAAGCAATGAAAGAAACAGCTAACTAATATTTTCAGCTAGTTCAGATAAAGATGGAAACTTTAGCAATGTATGAATAAAAGTATCAACTTACTCTGTTCTGGTCAACAACGTCGACGATAACGACGAGCTTTCCATGGTCTTTTCCGTAGTTCACGAGTGCGACTCTCCCGATCTCGACGTACCTCTTGAAAACCTGAGCAATCACAAACACAAATGAGATCTTAAGTCACAAACTTGGTCGACGTCAAGGAGAAAGGAATCCAGAATGTATCTCTCACCATTTTCGCCGGCGGTAGCTTGAGAGTTCGAAGCGTAGTGACTAAAGCCGAAGAGAGTTATATATACTCGTTTTTAGGGTTTTTCTGTTTTGGGCCGTAGAATAAATATCTAAAGGCCCGTTATGGATGCTACGATTAAATTAAAAGCCCAGTAATATGGTAAAGCAATAACACGGTGTCGTTTAATATGTTGAGATGTCCTCAACGCTATAGCTAACCTCACTGTTGTGATTGCATTCGTTACAAAACTCCGGTGAGCGTTTCATTAACGTAATATACAAGGGGAGAACTAGGTTTAGATGAGCGTAACATATCTTCATCTCTACCGTGTTTCCTAAGTTTCTTAGGACGCAAGAAAAAGAGACAAGAAGAGGCAGATCAACACGGTTGGAAACAAAAATGTTTGATGTTTGGAAGAAAATTCAAATTAAGGAGATGCATTGCTATGATCATTCGAGTCTAAACTGGTTTCATGTACTGCATATGGATGTAAGTATCTCAAACTAGTAACATCAGAACAAGGTAGTCTATGTATATGACCAAACACCAGTAAGTTACAACGAGTCCTAAGGCTTTTTCTTACTTATGTTTTCGACAAAGGGCGAGGGAAACTGCGAATAAGGAACTAAGAAACAGAGATCTCTTCCACCACGCCGCTGATATCTTCAGTCAGCTCATCTTGTACTTTGGGTTCCAGGTCGATGAACTGGTTCGACTTGCTTGCTAGATGTGAGATACTAACTCTTCCTTGACGTTTGATGTAATCCGCAACCGCATTCATCTCTTCCATTGATATGTATATGTATTTCCCTCTATCATCCATTACCCCCGAGAGCCGCCCTGGATAAAAACAGAGAAGACGTTCAGAGCTCAAGAGTCCCATCATGGTTTCACATGTGTAGATACACAAAATCATCAATGTTTCATCTGCTTATACTATGCTATTTTTATGATTGGATAGAGAGAAAGAAAATACCAATGCTCTCCAAAGAGGCGATCCTGTTGATGCATTCCTACACAAACAAACGGTCACATCAGAGTTTATTAGACAAATGACAATAGGTATTCATTTATTTGTGACACAGAAGATGTGTAAGCCAGATGATACCTGAGTTCTTAGATGAAACTCTGCGGCGAGATCTTCAAGTGGAACACATTTCTGTTTCTGCAATCACATCACAAAGCACAAGGAAAGGCTCAGCGTTTCTGCACACTAATAAAGGAATGAGACTATTTTGTATCTATAATGCATTGTTAGTTTGTTTTGTTAGCAAAATCAAGATTAGAATGGTTATTCGAGATATACCTTAATGTATTCAACAAATTCTGAAAGCAAATCTTGATTCCCACCTTCCACTTCCTCTGTAGTACCTTCAGCATCGACTGAGAATTCGCCTTTCCATTTGTCAAACTCTAAAGCAGCTGCCTCTTCTTCCTTGGCTTGTCGTGCTTTTTCTTCTTCTTCCTACAAAACATTTTGTCACAATTAGACAAGTTCAGTATTTCTAAAGCAGGAAAAGTAAAACAGAACGAGTTTGGAGAAATATTTTTCAATTGACCCACCAACTTGCGCTCCTCTGCCTCACGCTCTTCGTCCTTCTTCCTCCGCATTTCTGCATACCAATCTTGTTTTGTACTCCTTGACTCTCGTGCAGCTTCTTCAGCCTTTATGAGACAATAGGAGCATATTTTGATCAGGACAGTTGAACCAAAAAGATTATGAACGACTATGATCTCATGACCAATGATCTGTCCTTAAGCTCCAATATAAAACTTTCACAGTTCGGACTGAAACTAGTTTTCTCATCATTATTATTAGAATAAACTTCACCTGTCTTTGTTCTTCTCGTTCTTGTCGCTTCTTCTCTTTCTTCTTTGATGCTCTGGCCTGATTTCCACCGGCTTCATCTTCCTCCTCATCTTCACTCCCACTGATGTTTTCTGTTCACACATTGTAACCAAAACAATCATTCCAAGGCCAGTAGTTCATTCATTTTCAACACCCTCCCTATTATTATAAGCTAGGCTTTACAGCAAACTGGCAAATGAAACTAAAAAAAATCTACTTGACTATTCTTGAATCACTAGTTCTCCCTGACTATATAGTTGAATCATACGGTTATCTCCAACTATAACGTAGAAGACAATTTTCTTTTTTTCTTTTATTTTTGAATGAATGTAAAATTAAATTCAAGCAAAAAACTGTGTTACAACTGGTGCTTCGGTTTTGGATTATATACTCATTAGTCTATAAAACTGAAAAAATCTTCACAGTCTTCATGATGGATTTGGAACAACTCTTGTTCCAAACCACCTCTTTCCAGATACATAATTTGTTTTCAGCCCCTCCCTAATCTGAAGCTAACACAAATGAAACTAAAAAACTATTTGACTATTCTTGAACCAATAGCTCAGAGTCCTCCCTAGCTACATAGCAAACTCTATACAATAACCACCCATCGAACATATATTTGTCTATAACTATAAAATAGAAGACAATCATTCCATTGTCCCAGTAGTTCCTTTGTTTCCATCCCTCCCTAATCTCAACGTATCTCAAATAAAACTAAAAACAACTTGCCTATTCTTGAATCACTAGTTCAGAGTCCTCCCTAGCTACATAGCAAACTCTATACAATAACACACCCATTAAACATACATTTGTCTTCAACTATAAAAATAGAAGACAATCATTCCAATGCCCCAGTAGTTCCTTCCTTTGTTTCCATCCCCCTCCCTAATCTCAACCTATCTCAAATGAAACTTAAAACTACTCTACTACTCTTGAATAACAACTTCTCTGAGTCCTCCCCGGCTATATATCAAACTCTAACCAATAACACCCACTTAAAATCCAGCTATAATGTAGAAAAACACTTGATAATCATCTAAAAACCATCTCTTTTAGTTTCATACAGTGTTTATACTTCAAAAACAATAAATAACGCAAGAGAGACACAGAGAGCACAGTAAAGCACCAACCTTGAACGTTAGATGTTGAAGAGGAGCTAGCACCAGCATTAGCCGCAGGTCTCCGACGCATCCTACGCCCACCACCACCACGTCCCACGTTCTCACGCGCATGAACCTTTTTTTTTTTAATTTCATACAACAACAACAAAAAAAGTCAAATCCTTTTTTTGCAACAATTGAAACAAAAAAAAAAGTTGAGAAATTTATTTTACCTGAGGCGGTGCTGCTGCTTCTTCCTCACGTGATCTACTATCCACCCGACGTTTCCATAAGAACAAAGGAATCACCGAAGCTATGAGAATTATTGAGACTATTAGAGCGAAGATCTCTTCCATCTCTTACCTGCGATCGGGAAAATAAAAAGGGATTTTTAGAGAAGATAAACAAACGAGGATGATGAAATTGAAAGAGGATTGATTCATAAATTTAACCTAATTTGCGTTTCTTTTTCACGTTTGTCTTCTTCTCTATTTGTATTTTAACCTAAAAAACCACCATGCGAGAGGATTTGCAGAAGTGTTAGATAGAGAAGACGATCTAAACGGAGGTTACTTTCGTAATTTACGTGACTTTCGAAACCTTCTGGAGCCGTCATAGTCTTTCGTGTCGTTCTGGTCAGTACCGGTTCGTATTAAAGCGGAGGTTAATTTCGTAATTCGCGGCTTTCAAATCTTCTGTATCCATCAGAGTCTTTCCTGCCGTTCTGGTCAATACCGGTTCGTTCTAGGTGTATAAAATGGATTAATGTTCCTTTTGTTCTTTGTTTTTTTTTTTTGTAAAATTTTGAAATTACAAAACACGAATGGATGTATAAAATGGATTAATGTTCCTTTTCTTCTTTGTTTTTTTTTTTTTGTAAAATTTTGAAATTACAAAACACGAATGGAAGGAAGTTTTGATTATGTTTCTTTTGTTTTTTTTTTTGTAAAATTTTGAAATTACAAAACACAAATGGAAGGAAGTAAAACTGTAACTCACCAATATTCATATCCATTTATTAAGTAGCAAGAGTAGCACAAAGAGTGGTCTCTTACTATCATACCAAGTCTAAATCGAAATGAAACAAAACAAGCAACAAGAGATCAAAGGGGGAAGTTGAAAGAAATGTTTTGGAAAGAGAGGTGGGGATGACAATAGAGGTGAATAGAGCAAACAGACTTAGAGACAATGTAGCATACGAAGCTCAGAAACCATGGATCTTGATGTTGTCCTTCTTCACAAGACCAGCCTGTTTCAAGAAAAAAGAAGGGGCAGTGAGATAATGCAATAGTGTCTTTTTATGTTTAGCTATTTATTTGTGAAAGAGTGTGTGATTATTACCTGGACTAGGAACGTGGAGACGTTCTTCCTCTGGTCACCTTGAAGCTGAATAACCTACACATAAGAGAGAACACACATATATAAAGGACTATCCTCGGAAAAGAAAAACATTATCTTCTTGAAACTTTAAAAGACACGAACCTGTCCGAGTTCAGAGTCTTGAACCACTGTACCGTTGCAACAAAACTCTTTCTTGAGGTCTTTAAGTATCTTGCTGTAACTATACTCTTTCTTCAACCCTTGGACTGTTGTCAAGCTTTTCCTACCATTGCGCTGCTGCACACGTATGTGGACGTACTCCTTTGTTCCCGCACCTGAGTCCTCAGCATCCACATCAGCAAACGGGTCTGCCAGATAATTAAAAAGAAGAAGAAGAAACTGATTAGCTCATATCATCAATTCCTATATAAGAAACAATTACCAAACCCAATGTTCCAAATATAAAAAAAAAAAAAAAAAACAGTAACCAAAGATCTAAGATAAGTCTTAAATGGACTTATGAGGTAGTATTTTGATGATCAAAATGGAACTTACCGAAGGCAGTAGGGACCTGTGAATCAAGTTCAGACATGAACAAAAAGGACAGAGAAGCTGAGACCTGAACAAAAAAGACCAATGTCATGATAAGAATTTAGCACACTCAGAAAGGCACAAAACACACATGATATAAGATGAATGTGTTAAGCCACAATAGAGTTAAGCATAGGTCTTAAATAACTGAAGAAAACACAGGAAAGGCATAGACAAATAAACATAAAGCGATACCAAACAAACAAAGACACAAATCTTGTAAGAGCCACGAGATTAATTACATATCATTAAATTATATGAAGTATAAACCAGATGAGAAACTCTAGAATTGAGATGAAAAATAATATAATCTGTATCAATAATTCAATTAACAAACCACGTTAATCTAGTAAAAACAGATTCAGTTAAATTACAGAAAATGACGTACAGAAAAAAAAAACTCATCAAACCACTTTGTAAATTCATTGAATTTCAATTTTCAGATGAGATCCAAAGCAAGATCTGTTTTTTTTTCAAAGCCACCAGCAAATATGAACGATAATAAAACAAAAGCTCAATTCAGATCGAAAGGCAATACTCATACCAAAAAACGCAAAATCATACCTGATTCGAAATATGGGTTTCGAGGATCTGATTGTCGGAGAAGAGAGAGAAGGACGAGAAGAAACCCTAAACTCGGATAAAGTCTTGAAACTTTACTTTTTGTTTCGGTGGAGACAAAAGTAAATGAGAGGAAAAGAGGAAAAGATGAAAGGATAGTTTGGTCGGATAATATATCTTCAATCTCATGGTGGGTTTTGGGCTTCATACTTGTCCTCTCCGTGGGCTTAGACTAAGTACTTGTTCTCTCAGTGGGCTTGGGTTTCACATGTATCCTATAACTAAATTTACCATGTCACTGATATTTTTTTTTGGGAAAATTCCCTTAAAAATACATTGACTGAATTTCTTTTGTTAACAAAATACACCAACTTTTTAGACTTCTCAAAAAATACACAGATTAATTTTGGCTATCCACAAAATACATAAAGCAAAATTTAATATTTCTTTTGTTTTTTTTAATGTTTCTGTCAGAAAACACAAGAATGTTTGGAATATACAGCAAAGAGACTTAGAGACAATGTAGCATAAGAAGCTCAGAAACCATGGATCTTGATGTTGTCCTTCTTCACAAGACCAGCCTGTGTTTCAAGAAAAAAGAGGCAAGGGATTATGAGATAATGCAACAATGTCTTTTTGTTTGGAATATACAGGAAAGAGACTTAGAGACAATGTAGCATAAGAAGCTCAGAAGTTTCTTATGTTTGTCTCTAAGTCTCTCTGTCCTTTTTGTTCATGTCTGAACTTGATTCGCAAGTCCCTACTGCCTTCAGTAAGTTCCATTTTGATCATCAAAATACTACCTCATAAGTCCATTTAAGACTTATCTTAGATCTTTGGTTGTCCACTAACTAAAATTACACAAAATACATGACTAATGATGGTTTTTTTGGAGTCGGTTCGGACCTTTGATTAAAATACGTGTAAAATACTGGTAATTTTTTAATATGTATCATGTGATAGAGAATGTGTTTTTGTTCAGGTCTTTGGGTCGGGTTTGGACCGGTACTTAGATCCAAATATCTTAGATTCGAAAGACTTGGATCCAAAAAGAACCAGCCCAAACCCGACCCAAAGACCCGAACAAAAACACATTATCTATCACAAGATAGATATCCGAAAATTACCGATATTTTACAAGTATTTTAATTAAAGATCCAAATCGACCATAAAAGAACCAGCCTCAACATGAACAAAATATATTCAAAAATTATATTTTTCGTTCAAACAAAAAAAAACAATGTCTTAGCCACCTTAGTATATTCTTGAAAATTTCTTAAAAATACACATACTAAATTTTCTTTGCTTAAAAAATTCACAAACTTTTTGGATTTCCCCAAAAATACACATACTAATTTTGGTTGTCCATAAAATACGTGAACTTTTGAATCAGAGTTAACGTCGTCTAACAGCGTCTAAATGTTCTGTTAATCAGAGTTAACATCATTAAAATTGAGGTGTAAAACCTCCAAAAGTTCATGTATTTTATAGACAACCAAAATTAATCTGTGTATTTTTCGGAAAATCTAAAAAGTTGGTGTATTTTTTTAGCAAAAGAAATTTAGTCTGTGTATTTTCAGGGAATTTTCTCTTTTTTTTTATAACCTATAGTTTAATCCTTGGGGCTAAGGACCATGTGAATATTCCAGTGACCACACGCTGCGATAATCTAAGTATATATAGATTCGAACTCAAATCTCGTAGAATTTATGAAATGTCATTCTACCATCCGACCACTAACGTGGTTCACATCACTGATATATTAATGTGTTTGTGATCAGTGACGGAGCTATGTGGTAGGGAGGGGAGTCAGACCATCTCCATTAAGGAATCATAAAGGGTTCAAGGGGAGGGGACCACACGGATTTCGAGGAAAAAAAGGTGATACCGGTTCGCGGGAGTTCGCTGGGGTGATACTGGTTCACCACGGGTTCACGTCCTGATTCGTTGCATTTTTTTTTTGAAAAAGTCAAAGGAAAAAGAAATTAAAAAATTATCTCGGGGATCGTGCCAGAAGGGAATTGCTGATGGAGATGCTCTCAGTTGACCCACATGACTTCTATAAATAGATGAGTTTAGCCTATGTCTGATTGATTTTGGTTAGAACATTTGGTTAAGATCTTTTAGCTTGACCCCAATGCCAGAAGTTCAAACCTTTACTTTGACTTATAATAAAAAAAAAAGTAATATTACATAGTTATTTTAATAAATGACCTATATGAGAGATAATACTGGCTCCGCCACTGACTGTGATGTTTGATCACGATGTTGATCACTTGTCAGTCCATGTGTGATGGTTAAACCCTTTATATAAGGAAATTTTTTTGACTTAAAGCTTTCTTATATATATATATATTAGAAACAAAAACGTTTACAAGCCCATGAAGAAGATTCATGACTATAGTCCCACTCATAGTTTTTACCCTAATATGCCCATAATAAAAGATCAGTTAACAGGCCCAATGTCCAACAAGAAGAGAAGTTAATTCGTTGCTTTTTTTCAAGTTTGCGTTGAAAGCCAGATTTGCATGTAGCTCGAGGAGACCGTCGGAGAGTTCAACCTGAAACTGGAGATTCGATCAGTTATTTGGCGAGTGATGAGAGAGATAATGGTATCTGGAGGTCGGAATTGCTGGTTATGAAGTCTTTTATTTCTCTCCTGCCAGAGCCAATAGATACTTGATTGCCAACAGAGAAGGGTGAGTCGTCTTTTATATTTGTTCCCTTGAAGTGATTGCATCTGAGAAAGAGTCTGATCCCAGTTTCTCTGTGGTGGCAGAACGCATCTCCTTGCTAGTTCTTCCCAGATTTTCCAACTGTAGGGACATAGAAAGAATAAGTGATCTCTTGATTCTGGCGACTGGTTACAAAGAAGACAAACTTCATCTGATTGAAGTCCCCAATTCCGTAGGCGATCCCTTGTTGGACTTTGGTTCAGAACAAACAACCAAGTGAGGAAATTATGTCTTGGGATTCCTGCAGCGAACCAAACACACTTAGCCCAAGGTACTTGTGTTTCCTGCCCTCTCAATTTCCGATAAACCTGATTAGTATTAAACTTCTTTGAAGGTTTATCATCTACCACCCAGTCATAGCAGTCTTCTTCTTCAGTCAAAGCAAAGGTGGTAAAAAAGATGTGAAGTTGAACCATTTTTTCTGAACGCGCCGGAGGAAGCACCCAATTACCATCGACAAAAAGGTCAGAGACTGTGGAGTTAGGATCAATACCCATATGCGAAGTTTGATCTGATAGCAAGTACTGCGAGAGCTTCCCTAACGGATTCCAGTTGTCTGACCAGAATCTACATGATTCTCCATTCCCCACTTTCAACTTTATCCAGGTATAAACCTCATCTCTCATCTTGAATAGCTTATTTACCAGCCAAGAGTTAGTTGTCGCCGGTTTCATAGTCCAGAAGTTAGAAAGGGAACCCTTTAGGACCTCTTCTTTGAACCATCCCACCCATATCGATCCTGCTTGAAAAAACAGTAACCATATTAGTTTAATACAGCATGATTTGTTCCAAGTTTGCAAGTCCTTTACTCCCAGGCCCCCGCAAGACTTTTCCTTAGTTACCACCTCCCATGAAACTTTAGCCGAGTGATGTGTGTCTAGACGTCCTTTCCATAGAAACAAGCCACATAGAGAGTTGATTCTTGTCACACAACCTTTAGGAAGAAGGAAAGTAGAGCACCAGAAGTTGTTGATTCCGGCAATAACAGTTTTGATTAAGAGTAGTCTACTAGCGAAGGAGAGGGTCTTAACAGTCCATGAAGTAAACTTTGATTTAACTTGTTGGATCAAGACCTCACAATTTGCAATTGTTAACTTTTTTGTGCAGAGGGGGACTCCTAAATATCGCACCGGAAGAGTTCCATTTGGCATTCCAGTGGACACTTTGATAGCATCAACCTCCTGTTGTGTCATTCCCGAAGCATAGAAAGACGATTTCTGGACACTAACTGCTAGGCCAGACCTCAGTTCAAACTCCTTTAACACCTGTAAGACATTCTGCACCGAGCTAATAGAACCATCCATAAATATCAGTAAATCATCCGCAAAGCATAAGTGAGTCAACTTTGATTTACTGCATCTATGGTGGTATTTTATCTTCAGGTCAGCTGCCGCCTTGTTTAGCATCAGAGATAAGACATTCATAGCAATCACAAAAAGGTAAGGGGATAAGGGGTCCCCCTGCCTTAAGCCTCGCTTCCCTTTAAAGTAACCGTGCACTCTCCCATTGTACCCTATTGTGAAGTTAGGAGTACATATACAACATCTTAGCCATCCAATAAGGGTCGGTGGCAGTTGCAGCCCCTCTAGACAGTTAAAAAGAAATTCCCAAAAAAGAGTATCAAAAGCCTTTGCTATGTCCACCTTGATTGTTATTCTTTTAGGTCCCTTCTTTCTGTGGTAGCCATTGACCAGCTCAGCAGCTAGTACCGTGTTTTCCACTATCAATCTGTCCTTCACAAAAGCTGTCTGATTGGGAACTATAAGCGAAGGCAGCATAGGTTTGATTCTCCTGACTAAAAGTCTAGCAATGACTTTATAAAGAGTGTTGAGACAACTTATAGGACGGAAGTCAGAAATAGAGGAAGCTCCAGGCCGTTTTGGTACTAGGGCGAGGATGGTAGAGTTGGTCGAAGCCGGGAGGAATGACTGATGGAAAAAATGTGAAATAGAAGAGAGTACTTCCACACCAAGAAAGCTCCAAGAGGATTTGTAGAATTCAGATGTTAGCCCATCCGGCCCTGGGGCCTTGTTCGGATTCAATTTGAAAAGTAGCTTCTGAATTTCCTCAGCACTCGGAATGGAGGTCATAGCAACAGTGTGTGCTTGAGTGGGACTGAAACCAGTTAACTGAGCAAACCACAAGGGAGATGTATGATATAGTGGCGCTGGAAGGAAGTCTGGTCCTAGGAGGTTCTTGAAATGCGAGATAGCGTGTAGGCTCATCAGATAAGGATCAGTTAGTAGCTCGCCAGAGGATAGCATGAATGACCTGATAGTATTGTAGCTCATTCTCATCTGGAAAATTCTAAAAAAGTAAGCTGTATTCTGATCTCCTTCATTCAGCCAGTTTACTCTTGATTTTTGTCTAAAATAACTTTCCTCGATTTGCCTTAGGAAAAGCCACTTTTGATGGAGTTGTCTTTCTTCTTCAAACAGGTGAGGAGTAGGAGTTTGCAGCGCTTGTACCTGCACAACTTGTAACAAACTGTTAGTTTCTAAAACCCTCACTTGAATAATTGAAAAGTTCTCTCTATTTAACTGTTTTAACACTCCTTTAACACATTTTTGCTTCCAGCAAAGATTGGTAAGAGTAAATGCCATGCTTCCGGCTTGATTCCATGCCTCAAGTACCGACTGGTGAAAGAGAGGGTGTTTGGAGAGGTAGTTAAAGAACCTAAAAGGCTTGGTACCAGCTAGAGGGAGTTGATGGGAAAGATCAAGGAGACAAGGACAATGGTCTGATATTTCAGGTGGGAGAAAGGAAGCAATGCTGTTGGGAAAAAGGGATATAGCACTCGAATTAACAAGAAGGCGGTCAAGTTTTTTTGCTATGGGGCTTTCAGGTTGGTGGTTTGTCCAGGTGAACAGAGGTCCTTGGAACCTGAGATCAAACATTCCCATTTGGTGAAGAGCATCTCGAAACTCTGCCATCTGAGGTGAAATAGAATTGACTTCAAACAGAGAGTGTTCAGTATGATGGATGATCTCATTAAAGTCTCCACCTAAAATCCAAGGGGAAGTTGCAAGATTCAGCGATTGGTAGAGGTGAAGGAGTTCCACCCATAATCCAGCCCTCTCTACTCTTTCATTGGAAGCATAGACAGCAGTGTAGATGAAAGGAGCAGTAGCTGGGAGCAAAACTTCACAAGTGACTTGTTGCCTGGACTGGTTCAAAACACGCACTTTCACTGGGTCTTTCCAAATAACAATGATCCTGCCATCTTCATCAGAGAAGTGGTTTGAGAAGTAACTCCAGCCGCGACAGAGGTTAGACATAAGTAGGGCCAGATTCTGATCTTTAATATGGGTTTCTAAAATAGTACCAAAAAAAGGTTGGTGGGTCTTAAGCCAATTAACAAAAGGGGTATGCTTATCCGGGTCATTTAGGCCACGGATATTCCAAAAAAATAGTTTTGTACACATTTAAGATAAGGAGGAAAACTCTCCTTTAGAAAAGGAAGAGTCAGGATCCAAAAGAGAGTAGGGGTTAGGGTCAGAAGGAATAGGCAAAGTTAAAAGAAGAGGGGAAAAAGAGTTTTTGGGTAGGTTTAGTGGTTCAGAGGAAGGTAATAAAGAAGAGTTTGGTGGTGATAAAGAAGGGTCAGAACGAGACCGCTTCAGAGATTGTCTAAGGCGAGGATTTGGTGGGCTAGTTTGAATGGTAAAATCAGGGATGGCAGGGAGGTCAGTAAAGGAAAGTTGGTTATTGGTTTGAGAGGGGGCAACTTGAACTGGTACAGGTGGGGGTAAGCTTTTAGAATTAGAAAATTCAGGAGATGGGATAGGAAGAGAAGGGGTAAGGACAGGTTTAGTAGAGGAAGGCTTCGGAATGTAGGTTTTAGGTAAGTTCCGTAGAGAGGAGGTAGTCTTGGTAGGATTATCAGTGGACGGTTTGGGAGTTTTGGTAGAGTTATCAGTAGGGGGGGTTTTTTCTGGGACAGGAAGCATAAGGCAATTCTTGGCAATATGACCCAGCTCTTTGCAGTGAGAACAAGTAGGAGGCAACCATGGATAAGTAACAAAAACTTCCACCACTTGTCCAGAATCCCGAGTGAATTCCACCACTTCAGGAGCAGGTTTTGTCAAATCTAATTCCACTTTTACATGTGAAATAGTAAGACTAACTAAATTTTTTGTAAAATCATCTGTTTCCTTTGGCTCTCCCACAAGTCCAGCAACAAGACTGAGCCCCTCTTTATGCCTCAAGTCTAGAGGCACACCTGTTAAATAAGCCCACAGCTGGATAGACTTTGGCGAGGGAGGCAGAGAAGAATGTAGGGAAGTCCATTGAACCGCGTAGAACATAGAGTCTCCTACATACCAGTAACCTTTCTCTAGTATTTTCTGCTTGAGATAGTCGCTGTGAATACGCACCAGGACAGTTCTTTGAGAAGGGTTATTATGTATCTCCAGTTTTTTACCTTTTCCCCTCATGTGATTTAATACACTTTGTATGTGGCTGTAGGGAGGAGGCCTTCCGTTGAAGCAACACACAATAAAATCCTTATGAAGGTCAGCACCTTTTTGAAAGACAGCATCAGGAATGAGAACTGTAGGACGGCCCGAAGCTGACAAGGTTACTGGAGCAAGACGTTGGAGAGTTTTGTCTTCAAACCTTCTGATTTTTTCTACCAGAGATGGTTTTGGTGGAATAGAATGCTGGCTAGTTGGAATTTGGGAGTTCTCTTGACCTGAGAGAGGAACAAAGGGAATTTGGGTAGTAGGGATCTGAGTACTAGATGGTTGGACGGGAGGGGGTATATCTGGTTTTTCTAGCACCAGAGGTAAAATTAACGTAGAAGTGCTAGTAGTTTGTTTGGTAAGAGAAACAGGGGATTCAGTGGTTTGATTGGTAGAGGGGGTTAAGGCTTTGTTTGTGTAGAGAGGAGAGCTAGACTTAGGAGGAAGGATAGTAAAATTTTCAGAAGTAGGGTTAGCTACTACAGTGATTTCAGATCTAGTTTCTGGTGATGCAGAGAAGGGAACTAGTTCCATTTCTGTATCAGTTGGAGAGGTTAACTGGTTGGTAGTAGAAGAGTGACGGTTAGGACGAGCCTTAGTGTTAAGTGGAGGAGAGACTAAGGTACGAGCAGTTGGTTTTTTTGGAGAAAGAGGAGGGTATTGAGAAAGGGAAAGATGGTTATCAGGGTCAGGGGGATCTGGTGGATGTGGAGGGATGTGGGGTTGTTCTTTACCGGCGGTGAGAGGCGTCAGAAGCAAGGCGGAAGCACGGTTGGGAGAAGCCCAGGGACCAATCATCGGGAAGCGGGTCAGAGAGGATATTTGACCTTTTTATATATAAGGAAATTAATAGATACAATTCATCTTTCATTTCAAAATAGTTCATTTGGCTAAAAAATTTAAAATAGTTGGCATGTCAGAATATGAGATACACATAATTTAAATGCATGGTTGCATTGCAGGTAGACGCGGGGAGTTGTCACTCCACCACATTTGAGTTTCCAACACCTAATCGCAACAACAACATCCTTATAGATTCTCCCCCTCACACACAACAAACAAACAAACACACATGAAAAAAAAAACACATATGCATGCAATGTTACACGTGATCTACATGCAAAACTTCTACTCACCTATAAATACCAACCAAACCTTCACTTCAATCTCCACTCAAAACTAAAACAACAAAACATATACACAAATACCAAAATGGCTAACAAGCTTTTCCTCGTCTCCGCAACTCTCGCCTTCTTCTTCCTCCTCACCAACGCCTCCATCTACCGCACGGTCGTCGAGTTGGAAGAAGATGACGCCACCAACCCAATGGGCCCATTCGGCGGGAAACAGAAATGTCGTAGGGAGTTTCAGCAATCACAACACCTAAGAGCTTGCCAACAATGGCTCCACAAGCAAGCAAGGCGAGCCCGTCGTGGTCCTTGGGCCCTTGAGGATGAGTTGGCCTTCGAAGACGACATGGAGAACTCTGACCAGCACAGATCGCCACTACTCCAGCAGTGCTGCAACGAGCTTCACCAGGAAGAGCCAGATTGCGTTTGCCCAACCTTGAAACAAGCGTCCAAAGCGGTTAGACACCAGATTCAACAACAGGGACAGCCCCAAGTAGTGAGACGTATCTACCAGACCGCTCAGCACTTGCCTAACATTTGCCGAGTTCCGCAAGTTAGCGTGTGTCCCTTCAGGAGGACCATGCCTTTCCAGCCTCCATACTAGATTCCAAACGAGACACTGGGGAGTGTATATACAACGGTGATGAGTAAGGTTGTTGATGTATGTTAACACTAGGGAGTCACCGTGTGTATTCTACAATAAAATAGTAACTTTAATAAGATGTTTGAGGCTAATGTAATTAGCACTACTCCGTAGACCTTAATAAAGAGATGTTTCTTTCTTTTTCTACCATTGCTGCTTTCTAAAGAGTTTTAATGACGGATATTATGTACCATAAAAACAATTAAGCATGCAGTAGTCTAATGAACATGCATAATCAAGTGTTCAGAGGAATAATGTCTAATTAAGACTTCAAGATCGATAATTGAAACCATCCGTTGGGGATCAAACAGTTATTTAATCTGGTTTGGTCAGATGCTTTGAAACTCCTTTTGATTTCTAACCATCTCTCATTTCTCAGGCTATCTCCACCGACTGTTTTTTCTTTTTCTATCTAAATGAATCATTATTTTATACGATGTTGCCTTTCCTGTTAAAAGAAGAAAAACAGAAATGTTCACCTGTTATTTACATTTTGAAACTCTAAACTATAACTGCTAAGAAAAATTCGGACTTGCATTAAGTATAACTGAATGAATCAATAACTTGAAAGAACTAACTAAAGAACATATATAGAACCAGAAAGAAAGAAACAGGAGATCAGATGCCTCATCTTCGACTGCTGATTCAGACACTGTTACGTTAGGAAACCATCAACTGATCTTTGTTTAGCCTCTTTATGATTCGTCGACTTAAGAGACAGAAATAAACAGAACGTACACATTGATTTTAATTTAAAACTAGATTTTGACCCGCGCTTTCAACGCGCGGATTTATGTTTTATGCAAACTTTATATAATTGCATTTCATGTACATGTAGAAATGTGGGATAAGCTTGTTTAGTTCTTTAATTTCATCAAACTTAGTCTTTTTTAAAAATGAAGGATAAACTTTCGGTGAAAAATTTATATGACCACATTTTTGTTTTATATAAAGTAAACATGTGCATAAAATTCATAACTCGACGTCTAAACTCAATCTAAACAAAAAAAAATTAGATCCGTAACCGGTCAAAAATCTAAAATATATCAGAATGAGTTTTGTAGAGTGGTACAAAATATATCCAAATCAAAGTATTATTAGCAATACCCGAACGAATAACCTAAAAACCAAAATATCTGGAAAAAATCTGAATCGATCTGAATGTCCAAATTAATCATAAATATAAATATTTGAAACATTAATATCTAGTTTAAATATTCAGTTCTATATTTATTTTAAAATGCTATTTAAAATTAATTATCTAAATTTTAACTAAGTACTTTAATATCCAATTATATTAAAATAGGTATCTTTCTTTTGTTTTGGTTTTAGATTTTAGATTGCCAAACCAATATAACCCAAACCGAACGATATATGGTTACTTTATCGATTTTAGAATGTGTACAAATTAGAACCAAACCCGACTGTTATATTTGAATCTGATTCATACTTACAACATGTCTACTTACATATTATGACACCTATTATGTGATATAAATTAGCTTTGATTCAAAATATTTGACCCGTATCCCAATAGGTACTTGAACTCTCAAGCATAACTTATATTATGTTTTATATTTTGTTAAATTAACTTTATATTTGATAAGTATTTTGTCTGTTTATTGGAATAACCCGTAAAATTATAATCAGAAAATATCAGTAATAACATGTTTCATTATATATTTAAATATTAATAGTAGCTATTATTTATATTTATTTTATAAAAAATTATATATATATATATATATAAAAATGATTTTAAGAATTTATCTATGATAATTATATTATTATGTATTGGTGGAGGTTTAAAAAAATTGTTTATTATTATTTTGTGTATCAATTACATATAATTAAATGTTAATTTTTTATATCCTAATGTTTTAATTTAAATATGTATATTAAAATATAAAATTATTTCATTTTTAATATCTTATGGTAGTATTTTGTTATTCTGTAAATGTAATTCATCTAGTTTATAATTTATAAAGTAGATTAATTTATATTATAAATATTATTTTGAGTAATTTTTAGTTACAAATATGAAATATTTATATATAAATGTTATAGTAAGTTAGTTCTTATTCTATAAATCAAAATAAGTTAATACACATTTATAATTTAATTTAATATCATTTACGTTTTTATTATTAAAATAATATTAAAACAATAAATATTTATTTTAAAATAAAATATATTAAAGATATTGTTAAAATGTAATCTGAAAAAATAGTTAAAAGTATCTTTTTGATATCTTATTTTGAATATATTTAAATTATATATTTATATTATGTTGTTATTTAATAATAACTAAGTTTGTTATATGTAACATAACATAAAATTAAATAAATATAATGTTTTGAAGTAGATTACTTCCAAGTAGATAAAAAGTGCTTTTGTTTTAATATTATAGATTTGTTGTCACTCATCACACCTGCTTTTCCATCTTTGATGATATTAGGACTTCAATAAGAAGGAAAAACATCAGTGGTAAGTTCCATTTATTTTCTAGTCTGTAATTTTTTTTTTTGACAAAAACTAGTCTGTAAAACTTGCATCATTATTTTATATAAGTGATTTTGTAAAAATGGTGATCCAGATATTTAACATTAGTTTAAATAATTAATATCACTGATATGCCTATATATCGCATTTATAAAATAATATAATAATATTGTAAAGTATTTGATATTGTTTTGTCAAAAAAGTACGTATTTGATATTGTTACCACAAATGATGTTAATAGTCGGACTGTGAAATGTCAGTATATATGAGTTACAAGTAGGGCTGGGCATTTTATTCGTTAAATTTAATCTGATTCGTTATTCATTCTGATTCGATCCAAAAATTTTGAATATTCGTAAACTTTCGAAGCAAAGAAAATACTGAAATTTAATATCAATTAAAATTGAAGCAAATCACAAATACTAAAATTTTAGAAAGCGGCTTTCCGATCCGATCCAGCAATATATAAATACATGTATATCTTGATTATATTTAAAGTTTTAAATGTATAAAATTTTATTATTATCATTCTAACATATGATTTGACAAATTTTATTCACATTATTACTTACATAAAAGTATTACATAAAAAAGAGAAAATATTTATGACAATTATTACTTTTTTTTAAGTTTTGTGTTATTATAACTGTTAACTAAGTTTAAATTTTTCTAAAATATGTAGAGTCACTACTTCTTTTAATTTTTATCTTTTAGATCATGCAAAAAAATATTTTACAAAACAAATTTGTATTAAAAAATTTAAGATTATGTATCTTAATCCAAACATATTAGATATCCGTAAGTATTCGTAATATCCGCAAATATCTATTTATTTCCTGGATATCCATTTTTCCGAATATCCGTATTTTATCGTAGCAAAATAAATCGAAAAATTGATATTCGTGACATATGAAGCAAATAAAAAATACCTTCAAAAATCCGGATATCCAATCCGTGCCGAGGCCTAGCTACAAGTCACACATAGCAAGCAGACGTGTCACTCACTTCAAACACCTAAAATAGCTTCTATCTCTCTCTCAGAACATGTACAATGGGGGTCTTTAACGGGAAGACCTTAAGAAAAACAATAATTAAATAATCAATGGACCCCATAAAAAGTTAATGATTCAATCCTTAAAATTCTCTTGTAAGGACTCTTTCTTAGTAAATCCTTACACTATTTTTGGGTCCCTACGTGACAGCTCGCAATTGGTTGATATTTTTTTAAAAAAAATCTGAGAAAAAATTGAAAAAAAAAAGTTGTAAGGACTTTCCAATGGGTTCACCATCGGAGATGCTCTCACATACACACAAACAAATGGTTTGCGGTAGTTTTTTTGGTTTGAAGAAGGGCTTTTAATGGTTTGCCGTAACTAATTCCAAAAATGATTTTAATCAAAATGTAATGAATTGTCAATATATTTCTAGTTACAAATTCCATATCTATAGAGAACCATCTGATGATAAGAAAACATAAATACAAACATTAAATAAAATAAGATGTTTTAATAAGGCAAAACCATACTTAACTCTATACAGCCAAAAAAATCATATTAAACAAACATATCCAATAGGACCAATCCTATAATGAGTGTACCGATCATATGGTCAACGTCAGTGATGAAAAAGAGGAACATGATGAAATATAATATCATTATGAATGGAATGTTATGATTCTTTAACTATTCTATTGAGTATTCATTAATGATGTCATTCTTTAAACCGTTATGATCACCCGGCTTTACTTTTAAGTATAAGAATCCAAGACAAGACCAACATGCAGGTGTTATTCATCACTTGTCACTCCTCCATATCCGAGTATTCAACACCTAATTCCGACAACAACCTTGTAGCTTCTCTCTCACACACAAACACAAAAATACATGCATGCAATGTTACACGTGATCTCCATGCATAACACCTCTCTTGTCCATAAATACCACCCAACCCTTCGCTTCATTCTTCACTCAAAAACCAAAACACAAGAAAAAACACACAGATACCAAAATGGCTAACAAGCTCTTCCTCGTTTGCGCAACTCTTGCCTTCTGCGTCCTCCTCACCAACGCCTCCATCTACCGCACCGTCGTCGAATTGGATGACGAGACCAACCCAGGCCCATTCCGCCCACAACAGAAATGCCAGAGGGAGTTTCAGCAAGAGCAACACCTAAGAGCTTGCCAGCAATGGATCCGCAAGCAACTTGTGGGATCACCCTTCAGCGAAGACGACGACATGGAAAACCCATGGGGTCCTCAGGGGCAGTCTCTACGCCAGCAGTGCTGCCACGAGCTTTACCAGGAAGACCAAGAGTGCGTTTGCCCTACCTTGAAACAAGCAGCCAAGTCAGTTAGGGTCCAGGGACAGCACGGGCCATTCCAGTCAAGCCGCATCTACCAGATCGCTAAGAACTTGCCTAACGTTTGCAACATGAGACAAGTTGGAACATGTCCCTTCATTGCCATCCCTTTCTTCCCTCCTTACTAAATCCTAATGTTATCACACGATGATCATCATTAATGTGGTTGTTGATGTATGTTAATAATACACAGTCATCGTGTGTTTCTATGAAAAAAATGTATGTATAATGGTAGTTTGAGGCTAATGTAATTAGCACTACTCCGTAATAAAAGAGAAGTTTTACTTTTTGTTCAAGTGTATAAGTATGCTGTAGTAGGCCTTGCACCAAAAATAGATTACAAAACCAATAATAGATATAGTACTTGAAAAATATGATATGATTAGTATATTTTTATTTATGTCTATTCAAGATTTCAAAATTACACATATTAATATGTTGTTTTTAACACAATTATTCACCCTGACACAAGATGAAAGTAGATAAATAGACCCTTTAGACTAATACAAGCTGCTATATACAGATTCAGAACCAACGTTAACTAAGTAGAGACCACATTTTTTTAGATGTCGAATCCGAACCGAATTGACCTGCTAAAAGGGAATTCGAACCGATCTGAACCCGACATAAATACCGAATAGATATTGTTTATGGTATTTCGGGTTATGGATTTTTATCCAAACCAAACTTAAATGGATCTCCGAAACAACTCGAAACTTTAAAATTTCCAAAAAAAAATTGTATCATAACCGATCTAAATTTCTAATATGTTTCTAAAACACATTAATATATTAATGAGTACCTACAATAATTAGTTATTATATGAATAATTAACTCAAATATTTAGTCTAATATATAGTTTTATTTGGTTAATATTAATGTTTATGATTGCACATTACATTTGAAATTAAGTTACGAATAATTTTCTTTTGAAATTTAAATTATGTTATTTTTTAAGTTTAAATAGTATTTGTTACGTGTATATAATTATTAGTTGTTAGATTTAACTTTTTATTTATCATTATGTATGATTATCGTTCATACAAGGCTTTGGTTTGTCAATAATCATAATATGTTTAGTGTTGGCTAATATAGTTCAAATGACAAATCTTATATGGTTGATAAACGAGTTTCACAATATTATTTTGAAGGACAACAATATGGTTTGAAGAAGCTAAATATAAAAATTTAATAAAAACGTCTGAAAATATATTGAGTTTAGTCGAGTATAAATTAGTATTTTTAGAACCGATAACCCGATTAATATTTGAAACTGAAACTATTTCGGGTTCAACCGGATCTTAGACATGTTACTAGACTCGAACCGAACCCCCATTAAACCTGAACCGAATCCGACCTAAATTTTTATAATATCAGAATGAGGCTGAAATTCATGAACCTGAAATTTATGAACCTGAAAAATTCGAAAACCGAATGAACTCGAACCGAAAATCCGATTGATCCCGGTTGTCCAAATGTTTTTTACTGTTTTACCATTTTCTCTGTTCCAAAATTACAAGGCCATTCACACGCTCAGACACAAAAATAAAGTATGTGGGTAAAACTGTCCAAAAACCAAAATTTCTTTTCTACGATTCTGTCTCAGATGCTGACAATGTGTGTCAGTTTCATGCGAAATCAAAGAAATAAAAAAGTTGGATTATGTAATGGGCCCGTTCCAAGGGCCTGAGGTGGGGGGCTCTCTAAATCGTGTTTCACTAAATATCTCCTAAATGAAAAAAGTTGGATTATGTTAGTAGACCGTGTTTCACTTTTGTCGCAACTGAGAAGAACTTTCTCACAAAATTGTATAGTGTTATTTTCATAGATTGTTCCAGGAAATCGGATTTAAATCAGCTCCTAATGATTAAATCGGATCGAAATCAGCTCGAAATTTGAGGCAAAGGTCTAGTAAAAAAGCTGTGATCTTTGCGAAAGTGTGACAGCGCTTTATATCCTCCTGTTTAGGCGATCATCGTGTAGCGTTCGTTTGATGGAACAAAAAGCATTGTGGAACAATGATAAATGGGTAATTAAAAGAAGAGTCTTTTAGTTCTCTGGGTGCATCTGCTTCTCAATGTTGTTAGTAATAAAATTAAAGGAAGAGGAGAGCTCAGGGAAAAAATGAGACTTTCTCTTTACCACACACAGTTTAGTTGATCATGCTGCTTTGTTCTATATATGTTATGTGGTCCCAGAGGTATTAAGCTAGTGTCTTTTTTTTGAGGAACAAGATTGAGTTAGTTATGGTTTTCGTTTGTCCTGCTGTATTATTGTTAGGGGTGGTTCGATTTGATGTCTTTGCCAGTGGCTGGATCGATCAATATGGATATATCTACACAGCATATTTCATTGCCGTCATGGTTTTAAACTTGAGTTTGTGATTATGTAAGTTAGAGGCAAATATTAGCATCTAGAGACTTATCTGTTATTGGGGATGTAAGGTAGCTTATGAGAGTTAGCATCGATGATTTGACATGGTTCTTTGCAGATATATATATGAGAGTTCAATTAGTTTCTTAGACAATTCCTTGTTAAGCCAACTTATCCTTTTGTTCTTATTTACAGCATAGAGGATTGAAGAAACCAAAGGAAGTGAAAGGGAAGATGCTAATCTGTTGCGTCCTTTAAGAGATAGTTCCAAATACAAAGCTGATTAAGTCTCCAGTGCCGAGCAAAGGGACTCCATGGCCGCCCTGTAAACTTACGAAGTAGCTAGAGGCGAGCTTGCCCTTCCACCTAGCCTCAGAGCATGAGCCGCTATTTTCAACTCAGGTTTGGAATAGGCACAGAGAAAAGACTGCAACCTCTCTTGTAAGTATTTCCATCTCTTTTTTTTTGTCTATAGAAAGTGGTTGAGTTCGAAGTTGACATTTTGAGGAAGACAGTTTGAATATGTCTGAACTAAAGTTAAAGCACGAGTTAACCAAATAAGAGTTCCGAATTTTTCTAAAAAGTTAAACAACCAATGTACCTGAATTCTTACTAGAAGTTTTAAAATAAAACGGGGAAGAAATCTTCAAGGCAGGTTGTTGGAAACTTCAGATGTCAAATCATCGATGACCAAATCAAAACATCAACACCAACGTCTTGTTATTTATTTATGAAGACCATTAAAAGTCAATAAAGTCATTGGTGCTTCGTAGTAGGTTTATCTTGCGGATATTTGATTAATAGTTCTTAACAATCATTATTAAACCTCTCTTGTTTTTCAATCTCTCTGAAACTCTTTTTCATGGATTGTCTAGGCTCAACCTTGGGTTCTATCTTGGCAGAGGCAGGGCGTGGTATATGCAGATCAACCTATGCTCGAGCCATTAATACTATTCGGTTCAAGTCAAACATCAACAATTTAAAGAATGCGCTCAGTGGCCTTGTTGATGTTCAGAGCAAAGTGGAAAAAGACCTCAAAACCGTGGAGGTCAAAGGGAAGTCCTTGCATGTGCAACTGAGGAGATGGCTAAGAGATGTGGAAGAGATTGTCTCCGAAGCAAATTCAATCCAGGAAGATCGTGTTTCATGTGCTCTGTCCTTGAGATGTAAGGTGAGTAAAAAACTTGTGGTAGTTCTTGAGAAAGTCAAGAGGCTTCAGAAGCAAGGCGTAGAGCTTCTCGACATATTCTCTTTTGAAGGCAGATCTCTAGTTGAAAAAATCCTTGGACCACCCTCCATCACTGATCAAACAATAGCATCAGAGATGTTAGTCAAAGTTCTAAACTGTTTGATGAGAGATGATGTTCAAAAGATAGGTATTTGGGGCATGGGGGGAGTTGGGAAAACAACTCTAGTCAGAGAACTGAACAATAAGCTATGGAAAGAAGCTGATACGCAGCCTTTCGGTATGGTGATATGGGCTACAGTCTCCAAAGAGTTTGAAATGGGAAGGGTCCAGAAGCAAATCGCTGAGAGATTGGATATGGAAGTGAAACTAGGAGAAAGCGAGGAAACACTGGCGAGACGGATACATGAAAGGCTTGAGAAAGTAAGTAGCTTTCTTCTCATTCTTGATGATGTCTGGAAAGCCATTGATTTAGACCAGTTGGGGATTCCACAAACATATGGACGCAAGGCTACAAAGATTGTGTTGACTTCTAGGTTTTTAGAGGTTTGCCAGAGCGTAAAAACGGATATTAACTTCAGAGTGGATTGTTTATGTGAAGAAGAATCTTGGAAATTGTTTTGTAAGAATGCTGGAGAAGTAACTAGATTAGATTGTGTTGAACCTTTAGCAAAAGATGTTTCTCGGGAATGTGGTGGATTGCCTTTGGCTATCATCACGGTTGGAATGGCTATGCGAGGGAAGAAGATGGTCGAGCTGTGGGAACATGCCCTTGAAGAACTCAAGAGTTCGGTGCCTTATGTCAAGAGTATTGAAGAAAAGATCTACCAGCCTTTGAAATTGAGCTACGACTTGCTCGAGCCAAAGATGAAATCTTGCTTCCTCTTCTGTGCTTTATTTCCAGAGGATTACTCAATAGAAGTATCTGATCTTGTGAGGTACTGGATTGCCGAAGGATTCATTGATGAAACACAAAACCATGGGTACTTAATGAACCAAGGAATCACTTTGGTAGAGAATCTGAAAGACTCTTGCTTACTTGAAGAGGGTGCTCATGGTGAAACAGTTAAGATGCATGATGTGGTTCGCGATTTTGCCATATGGGTCATGTCTTCCTCACGAGATGATAGTCACTCTCTTGTCATGTCTGGTATAGGATTGTCCGAGTTTCCACATGAGAAGTTCGTTCCTTCTATCCGAAGAGTTTCTTTAATGAACAATAAGCTTAAAAGGATTCCGAGTAAGGTGTTAGAGTGTGTTGAACTCTCAGCTTTGCTGCTACAAGGAAACTTTCACTTAGAGGAATTGCCTGTGGGATTCTTGATATCTTTTCCAGCACTTCGGATTTTGAATATAAGTGGGACATGCATAAGGTCGTTGTCCAACTCCCTGAGCAAGCTTCATGAGCTCCGATCTCTCATCTTGAGAGACTGCTTCTACCTTGAAGAAGTTCCTGCCCTTGAAGGCCTTGCAAAAATTCAAGTTCTGGATCTTTGTGCCACTCGAATAAGGGAAACTCCAAGAGGGTTGGAAACTTTGAAGAGCTTGAGACTACTTGACCTTTCCCGTACACATCACCTCGAAAGCATTCAAGCAGGAATCATCCCAAAGTTATTAAGTTTAGAGGTTCTAGACATGACCCTTAGTCATTTCCACTGGGGCGTCCAAGGACAAACTCAAGAGGGGCAAGCAACACTTGAAGAGATTGCGTGTCTCAAACGTTTATCAGTTCTCTCAATCAGAGTCGTATGTGTTCCACCTCTCTCCCCTGATTACAATTCATTGATAGAAAGGTTAAAGAAGTTTCAGTTGTTCATCGGCCCAACAGCAAACTCTTTACCTTCTAGACATGATAAGCGGAGAGTAACAATTAGTAGTCTCAATGTTTCAGAAGCATTCATTGGATGGTTACTAATAAACACAACTTCTTTAGTGATGAACCATTGCTGGGGTCTCAATGAGATGCTGGAGAACTTAGTAATCGATAGCACGAGTAGCTTCAACCTATTAAGATCTCTAACGGTAGAGGGTTTTGGTGGAAGTATAAGACCCGCTGGTGGATGTGTTGCACAGCTGGATCTTCTACCTAACCTCGAAGAACTTCATCTGCGTCGTGTAAATCTGGGAACCATTAGAGAGCTCGTTGGTCATCTGGGGTTAAGATTTGAGACACTAAAACATCTTGAAGTCAGCAGATGTAGCCGGCTCAAATGCCTTCTGTCATTAGGGAATTTCATCTGTTTCCTGCCGAACCTACAAGAGATACATGTTAGCTTTTGTGAAATGCTTCAGGAGCTATTTGGCTATTCTCCAGGAGAAGTTCCAACCTCTGTTTCTGTGGTACCTGCTCTGCGTGTCATAAAGCTAAGGAATCTTCCGCGGTTGAAGAGCTTATGTAGCCAAAAAGAGTCATGGGGATGTTTGGAACATGTGGAAGTGACAAGTGGCAATCTTCTAAAGAATCTACCCATTAGCTCAAATAACGCTCACAGAGTCAGAGAAGTAAGAGGAGAAACACACTGGTGGAACAACTTAACTTGGGATGATAACACTACAATAGAAACCCTTCAACCTCGTTTCGTACCAGCTGATGGATATATACCTACTGGATCTCTTGGAATCTCTTGTTATCAGAGCTTCAACACAATTGAAGAAGCTTCTCCACTTCCTAGTAGATCAGGATCTCAGGCTGAGGAGCTTCTGTAGCTACAATGTAATCATGGACTTACAAAGGACTTTGTGGATAATACGTGGCTCACTTGCAATCTCTTGTCACAGAGTTCCAGTTCAAGCTAATGGAGAGAGAGGAGAGGCTTCTCCAGTTTAGATAGAAGACCTAACGGCTAAGGAGCTTCTGGATGGAAAATGTAATTGCAGAAAGTTTCAGGTGACCCTTAGGAATTCTCCGATAGTTACTTCTTTGTGTATATGTGATTGTTTTATTACTTGTTGCAATGAAACTAAACATGAAATTTATTTGTGTATATGTGTACCTGAGTAGATTTTGTTTGTGTATATGTATGGAGAACATGTAACTTGATAAACCATGCGTGATCTGGATTTTCATTGTACTATTTGCTTTTGATCTTTGAGGCTCTGTTTCATTTTTTTATGGTCTCTGTAACTTCGGTTCCTCTTTTCTCCCCCACTCAGGATCTTGCTTTCGTAGTAATTTTTGAAACTTTTCATCCATGAATGTCTTTCTGGAGACTTGACATCATCATTGTTAGCCTCACGTTAACTTGCTTCATCTTTGACCTGGGCAAAAAATAATTTCAAAGACCACTAGCATTTGACTTTGGGTTTCCATGTTACTAATGATTCGACGTCTTAGGCTTGTATATGTAACTCATTGTCATCTCTTATGAATCTCCTTGTGTATATAGGGACGATGAATGGTCTTATGGGTATTGTGAGCAAGAAACTGGTGTACTCAGATGTCCTAGCAGCAAGAACACAGTGTATACTTAAGGTTAGAAAATTGTTAATCAGATATTCCATGGGCTCACAAGGAATAGCCAGGACACACATGATCTCTTGTCTTAAAATTGCAAACACTTCTGTGATATGCTCTGTGACAGGCTTGGTGTGCCAAAGCTCCCAGGTAAAGTCCATTATTGGGGAATCCGTATTGAAAACCATCTCCTGTGTGTATGTGTGTTGGTCTTGAAGGCTTATATGATTATTTTTTTTTGGTTCTATCTATCTCTCTATCTTAACAGGTTGGGTGAATCGTTTTGCCCATGCTGGCGACACAGCCTTGGAAGTAGCAGAAACCACAGCACTGCGGGTGGAAGTTATTCTACTGAAGCTAATATAAACTTCCATTGGTTCATTGGCTAACGGTTCTGTTTTGACAGTAAACATTACAACCTCCTAAAATAAACAACTTGTAGGAACTAAAATCTCTATAATGGATTCTTAGCAATCACTATGGCTTGATCAAATAGAAGCCTCTCACTGCTTGAGCTTGTGGTCCAAGGTAGCATCAATAGTTTGATGAATAATTTCATCAATACCATATTTGTACTCAAACCCCAAATTTCTTAGCTTCTTTGAAGAAATCATAGGCTTCATCAAACTTTTCCGCTCTTCCAGATCATCATCTACCCTATAAACCATGAATAATAATTTATGAGAGTTTTAGTCTGAACCAAAAGAAAAGAGTCGATAAAAGCATATAAAGAATGTAAAATTTCAAAAACTTACTTCTGGACTTTACAAAGATACTCCTTAGAGAAGTGATTAAGCATCAACTCATGCATATCAATATTATCAACACAACATATGTATTGTTGACCTTCAGCTTTTGGTTCTTCCATAAGAAACAAATGCGCCATGCAAATATCTTCAATGTGTACCAAACCAATCGAACCCATTCTTTTGTTCACTGCTGATAGTATCGCAAACAACTTGGAGTCACCTAAAAACCAAAATGCTTAATAATCTTAAATTAATATTTGATAAAAAAATAAATACACACACACACACACAAACAAACACCTGTTATTGGAGACAAGAGAACTTGAAGGCTTGATGGGAGAGAAGGTGTAAGAAATGGACCAGAGACAGTAGTTGAAATAACTGAAACAAGATCCATTCCTCTCTCTTTTGCATATCTAAATGCTTCTTCCTCTGATACTAGTTTCGATAGTACATAAACCTGTCGTCCACAAGAACTCTAAAGTTGTTTATAACATGCCTAAAATGAATGCTACGTCATGTAATGAATTAATACTAGGATTTACTATTTACCCATCCACTTGCTTTTGTTTTGAGGACATGAGCAATGGGAGCCTTGCAAGTCTCGTCCACGATTGATCTCCACCGTTCATTCTCATCTTTGGCTGTGAGAGTACTGATGGATGACGTGAAGACAACTCTCTTGACTGATTTTGACTTCAGACAAGAACCAAGTACGTTCCGTACGCCTTTTATCGCCGGGTCAATGACTTTTCTCTGGACATAACTCTCTGAGATTCAAAAACCCGGTTCGTTTCGGTTAAATCCAAAACAAGACCGATGAACTAGTTTAGCAAATACATGTTGACATGAGACATTTTACCATCATTTACTACATTTTTACATTGACGTTTTACCACATCATGGTCAAGGCTTCAGGGTATTAATCATATAAGAGCATAATTATCACTGAGTTTCATGGCACAGTTTCTTATTTAATTTTTTTTTTGTCTGTAAAAAAAAATAATTCGAAAACGAACTGCAGACATCAATATATGTGGGGTCTGCGAACAGTGCAAAAACACTCCAAACTCGGTATTTATTTCATTATTTCTATAACCGATTCTTACTCTTTTTGTGAGGCCCACACCATTAGAAACCTATTAACCACCCGCAATAAAGATGCTCTAATATAATAGAATCAGATACCCACCAATCAGATAACATTCTAGTATTAGTACTTAACCTAAGCTAGAAAATGATAATGGTAACAGTATGATCCGGTTTATAACGGTACGTGCAAAGAAAAGGTCGTACCGAGATTGACGTGGTCCGGTGAGATATCAAACTCCATGGAAGCCGCGACATGAAACACACCATCACAGCCCTTAACGGCGTCATCGAAGCTGCCGTCATCTTGAAGATCCGCTCGGAATAATCTAAGCCGTTCGTTTCCTCTCCACTTGGATTGAAAATGTTTAGATTTTGCTGTCAGAGAAAGAAGCTAATTAGGTTAATTCTGATGACTTCAAAGCTATGTTACAAATTAGACCAACTTTGAGTACAAATAACCAAATTATTCATATTTATTTTGGAAAGCTCAAGTGTCTAAGATTCGATATAAACACACTTCTAATTAACACTCTCAAAAAAAAAAAATTAACAAATAATTTTAGTGCCATGCAAGAGCTTATATGATACTAAACGAATAGTTTTCAAGAAATTGAAATTCAATTTTGTTTTTTCTTAAACCAGAGAGGATACCAAGATCTCTGAAAGTGGCATGAACCGTGTAGCCTCTTTCAAGAAGAGACTTAACCAACCAAGAACCGATGTATCCACTTGCACCCGTCACGCAATACGTCGTCGCTTTTACTTCCTCTCCGTTCAGCTCCATCGTCTCTCTTGCTTTCTTCTCCACATGCCAAAGTGGGGGTTACAGTGTTAATTATTAGTTTATGGCTTGTGTGACGAAGACCACCGCCTTTTGTCTGTGCTATTTTTAATATTGCATGTTTTGTTTCTTTCTGGTTTGGTGTTATAACTTTTTGTATTTTATAACAAAATTGTGTGTTTCCAAAACTGACATTTGGAAAACTACTACACAGCCATTTTTATTTCTTTTTGACATCTTATAACATTTGGTAAGATAAGATTATTGCAATAAAAAGATTATTGGTGTTGTTATCATATATAGTGCATTTTGATATATATATATATATATATATATATATATATATATCTTTGGAAATTGAGAAATAAATGAAGAGAAGATAAAGAGATACATCACTGGATAAAACAGAAAAAGAAAGAAATATTAAGAACAGTTAAGAGACAACTAGCTGTAGAAAACTGGGACTTGTGTGCATGACTGTCTAATAACATGTGTAATTGGAGCGGGCGAACATGGTCTTAAATATAAAAATAAAAAAATAAGGAAAAATGAAGAAGTTTTGAAAAATATATAGATAAACTATGATATTTTAAAAACAAATTTAGATATATTGCTAAATTAGAATTTATAGTTTTACAAAAACATCAAACATAGTTATTAACTTTTAAAAAAATTATTAAATTATAAATATATTATTAAATTTTTTATACAAAGTCTAAAATTTATTTGAGACGGTCCAACGGTTTCTTAATTTTTGGCCTTCATGAATTTGTTGCTTCCATATTTCTCGATGCCGTCGATAAGTAGATTGTACACATACCTGAAAACCCAGTCGATACAAATCTAGAAAACTCGCATTTGGACTTGTGTTTCTTATTGCTTTGGAAAAAACTTCTTGCACATCACATGAGAAGGCTTCCAAGACATTGTTAGAAAACTGGGCTGGGCCATATATCCACACTTTACCCAGCAATGAAACGATTCATCGCAAACATCACTACTCACTAACAGTAATTCAATTTGTAGTTCGACAAAATTTTATTATACTATATAATAAACTCTTTATCTATAATATATAATAAACAAATACGTATATGTATATATAGCTTATTGATTTTATAACAATATTTATCTGTGGATACACCAGCCTACGTAACTAACCACAACAACAAGCAATCTGTGGATGTATTTCTGCATATCAAAAATTTACACTCATGTTTGTTATTTGCACAGTTATTTAAAACATTTGTCTATATTAATAATTAATATATATAAATTACATCTCTCTAAATTATTAAAACAAATATTTATTAAAATTTATCATAAATTATTTATATCCTCCAAAATTTAACTCATCACTCACGTATCTGAGAAACAAATTTTGCTTCAGAATGACATTTTATGCATACATAAATATGTATTTATTTGAAGATATATAATGATTTGTACTCGTTAATATATTAACATTTAGATTTAAACCAGCATTATATACATGTAACTGTGGACATAGTTCTTTTTTGTATGCATGATGAAATGGTGGGTGTGTCTGGTGAGAAAAGTTGGGTATTACATAGACACAAACCGCTTCATAGGGACACCAAAAAACAACCTTATCTTTAATATCCACTCATACGAACATCACAAATCCACAATAACCACCAAACCTATAGTATATTCATTATTACTAAAGAATCTACGACTTCAACCTACGTACCACGATTCAACAAGAAAGGGAATCTTATCTTTGAACCTATTTTATAAAACACTCTTTTTTTGGACAATAAAACACTTTTTCTTTAAATATTTTTGTGTAAGAAAATAAAATATACTCTTTTTCTTTGATAAATAAAAAAAGAAAATAGAATATACATTCTTATTGATAATATACTATATTCATCTTCTTTGTCAACACTTAGACAATATTTGTTTTTTTTTTTTTTTGGAGAAAGGGCTGACAATATTTGTTTCTTTCAATTTAAACGAATAGTTATGAGATTTCTAGCTAGACTGTAAGGACAACTTCATTGGAGGTTTTTAAGCAAGTAGCTAAGTACTACGGAGTATTTAGTTTGAAATAATTATGACAAGAAGAGAGAAAAAGAAAAAAAAATTAAGATACTATTGTTACATGTGTTAATTTCTCATTTGTTGAATCTCTTTTAATGACTCACATTTTAATTATTATTAAGTTATATTCAAATTATTTATGGTTTACCTTTAAGATATCCTAAGATGAGATACTAATCGATGAAAGTGCTCTAACTAATGAAGAACTGTAGGTCTTAAATATCGACTTGCAGCTTCGAATTGCAGTCATTATTACCAATATTTACTTTTATCATTTCATAGCTTGTGATCGAGACTTTTAGTGTAATGATGAAACTTTGGTCGTTCACTTTTTCTTTTTTTTTTGGGTCGTTCACTTGTTCCACATTAATATTAGTGAAGTTGTTAAGATGATCTGACTAATTAGTCAAACAAAAAATAAGATGATCCGGCTAATAATAATCGCCGTTCCTAGCTAGTTGATCCTGTATGTTTTCCCATTTTATTTCTTTTTGACTTCCTAAATATCAAAGTCAAAATGTGCCTAAAGCGATAACAATGTGGATACCATATTATTTTACCCTACGTACTTAAAGTTGTGGTTGTGGCCTTGTGGGTGAACCGAGCGTTCGCTACAAGCATGGACCCATGGGAATGATCATTGGGGAGTGGGGACACGGATTAACAATAATGCGCTTAAAAGTTCTTATGACCTTGTTTC